GGAGCCCTCTCACGGGCCCGAAGGGCCCGTGAGAGCGAAGCTCTCCCTATAGGTAACACGTATGTATGTAAAATATATTGAATTCTACAGTAAACTATATTTTTATTACAATACCTATGGAACTGAGAACCTTGTCGCCAATATGGCGTCCATAGTCTTATCCATCTTGAATCTCGCGGCAAATTCCCGCTTAAACGAGATGTTGGTGAATCGTAATTTTAATTCAAATCCTGCGTTAATGAAGTTTCCTCAATTCCAATAATCAAAAACATCCTTACAGTACACATCCTTGTTACTTTCGTTTTCATCTAGGCCTAGCCTAATTTGATCGTCATAGACCCGACATATGACGTCATTCATTGACTGAATCAGCGGAATCTGCCGACTTTTTAACAACCTTTAATAATTGATATTTTATATACGTAATCTCTTTTTAAAAACAGATTTACAACTCTTAATAAACCATACTATGTTTTTGGAGAAATTAAAATAAAATCGGTTTAACGAATTCTAGTGACGTCACTGTCTAGACTGCGTATTATGCACAAAGAGGGGCGGATCTTTCTGTGGCCCCTTTCACCAGACTTTAAAGGAATTTATTTAATAATAAAATTTACTAATTACGAAATGTCTTGAGGATTATTCTCAACACACAGCAATTAAGCTAGAAATATAATTTTTTGTGACATAGTATAATTTTCCTGTTGAATAATTTTAAAAAAATGTTTTCATAGTGGTAGAATATCTCCTGAAAAGAATTACTGAATTCTGGTATGGACTCCAGAACAGGGAGGGGTAATGGATTTTAATTTTCTCTCTCTCTCTCTTTAATTCTTGTACCCTATTTGTTTTTGATTACCTGTTTGTTAATATATACATTTGCAGGTGGGGATCTGTGTCTCATTTTTGTTGTTGTGAATTTGTTTATTTATTTTTTTTTTTGTCCAAATTTTTTTCTTCATTTTTTAAAGTGTCAAATTTCTGTTTCCTGAAGTTCACCATCAAAACAAAAATCTGTTAACATGTGTGAAGCTCAAACTTCCACATTTGATTCTGTTATCAGATGCGGATCCAGGATTTTTTTTCCGGGGGGGGGGGTTCACCCCAGTCAAAAAAAAATTCCAACCTAAAAATTTCTTGACAAGCAAAAAAAAAAAAAAAAAAATAAATAAATAAATAAATAAACAAATAAATAAAAAAAATAAAAAAAAAAAAAAAACAAAACAAAACAAACTAAAATCCATTTCCAAAACGTGAAAAATACCTATTTCGTGGTGGTGGTGGTGGGGTCCACGGTTTCTAGAGTGAGTCCAAAGTCAATTGATCCGCGCATGTGTTATCTATAAAATTAGATATTTCATCCGAACAAACACTTCCCAGCTCTCTCTCTATATATATAGTACATGTGACACACTTTAACGGGTCAAATATATAATTTTAAAAAGGTTTAGGATTTCTGATTTTTATTTCAAAAAGTACTTTTAAAAACATAGAACAGAAAATTTATTCAGTCAGTTGGAACACATGGTGGATTATGATAGTATATAAAGTTTAAAATCATATGAGAAACACCAAACAATTTATGATGGGCAGAGAGGTTGCTGTTCAGTTTACATGAAACAGTAAATAAATATATACAAACGTATATATTACTTCAATGTTGCAGCAATTAAACCGCATACTATAAATATATATATATATACCTCTACAGTACCGATCAGTTTCCAAGTACCCTGATAACCCAGAAGGTAGATCTGTCTGTAGTTTGGGTCCCAAGTTCGTCATCTACATGATGTGGTCCCATTGTCCTTATTTGTATTTAATGTCATGACCATACAATGGGAGTAACTGATGAGAATTAAATGACTTTATGTTTCGATATTACTGTCTTTAAATGTGCATGTAGTCATGAAGAATAAAGAAATGATGCTCAGGAAAGTCTGTTTATTAATTGTTGGACAGATACAAACGTTTTAGAGTTCTAGGGCCTGGGTAGGTCGAATCCTTGACTTGTCCAGTGCACGCTCTCTCTTTCCCCAACATACTATTTGTTGAGTGCTCTGGCTAGGCAACTCGTAATGAAACATCATAGTGTAAGTTTACCAGATACCCTTAAATTTCATTATTTGAATGAAAAGTATTTGAGGTATAAAAGAATGATTTTTTTTCAAAAGGACTGAGGTCTTTGTTATGGTTTTCTGACATTGATTACAATTAAATTTTAACACTGATTTATCATTAAAGAATAAAACATGGATATGTTCTCTTGCTGGCTCCGCCCTCACTAACGGTCGCACCGTCTAACATATTATTACAATACCTATAGAACTGAGAACCTTGTCGCCAATATGGCGTCCATAGTCTTATCCATCTTGAATCTCGCGACAAATTCCCGCTTAAACGAGATGCTGGTGAATCTTAATTTTAATTCCAATCCTGCGTTAATGAAGTTTCCTCAATTCCAATAATCAAAAACATCTTTATAGTACATATCCTTGTTACTTTCGTTTTCATCTAGGCCTAGCCTAACTTGCAATCGATCGTCATAGACCCGACATATGACGTCATTCATTGACTGAATTAGCGGAAACTGTCGACTTATTTAACAACCTTTAATAATTGATATTTTATATACGTAATCTCTTTTTAAAAACAGATTTACAACTTTTAATAAACCATACTATGTTTTTGAGGAAATAAAAAAAGAAAACTCGGTTTTAACGAATCCCAGTGACGTCACTGTCTAGACTGCGTATTATGCACATGGAGGGGCGGATCTTTCTGTGGCCCCTTTCACCAGACTTTAAAGAAATATTTGATAATAATAAAATTTACTAATTACGAATGTCTTGAGGATTATTCTCAACGCAACAAGCTAGAAATATAAGATTTTTTTGTGAATAGTATAATTTTCCTGTTGAATAATTTAAAAAATGTTTTATTGGTAGAATATTTCCTGAAAAGATTAACTGAATTCTGGTATGGACTCCAGAACAGTGGGGGGGGGGGGTTGGATTTTAATTTTTTTATCTCTCTCTCTCTTTCTCTCTCTTTATTTAATTCTTGTACCCAATTTGTTTTTGATTACCTGCTTGTTAATGTATTCATTTGCAGGTGGGGATCTGTGTCTCTTTTTGTTGTTGTGAATTTGTTTATTTTTTTCCCAAAATTTTTTATCTTTTTTTTAAAGTGTCAATTTCCTGTTTCCTGAAGTTCACCATCAAAAGAAAAATCTTTTAACATGTCTGAAGCTCAAACTACCACATTTGATTCTGTTACCTATAAAATTAATATAGATATTTCATTTGAACTTGAACAAACACTTCCCAGTTCCATCTACATATATATACCTGTGATACACTTTAACGGATCAAATATATAATTTTAAAAAGGTTTAGGATTTCTAATTTTTATTTAAGAAAGTACATTCAAAAACATGGAACAGAAAATTTATTCAGTCAGTTGGAACCCGTGGTGGATTACGATAGTGTATAAAGTCCAAAATCATATGAGAAAAACTAAGTTAAAAAATGTATGATTGACAGAGAGGTAGCCGTTCAATCTACATGTACCAGTAAATAAATATACACAAATATATATTACATGTACCTAAAAATACTGCAAATATTTATAATAAAGTTTTCTATACTATAAATAAATGTTCTCTTGACTTAAAAAACCCCCCAGCAAATACAGAATCCTCATTTGACATTACCCATGGTAATCCATGTAAAGAGGTCAATGTTGTTGAGCAGTACTAAAAATACCATTTTAAAGCTTCCATATATGATCCTTTTTATTGCGTGGTGGATAGGGATGTAAGAAAACATCAATTACTTGTGCGTCGCAAGCCACGGGTTTTGTGTCCATTCTATTTCCACAATGTGGAAATAGAATGGACACAAAACCCGTGGCTTGCGACGATGTTACTTGTGATACAAAAGGGATTCTTCCAAGAAGTCTGCTTGTTGTTAACAAGTTTTGTTTTTAAAAAATATAGTATTCACATAAACAATTGACTGAAATTTTAATATCTTTTATCGAGTTAAATTCGTTTTTCTTAAGAGACTATTTGAATCAGATTTGTTTTTGTTTTTGTTTTTTTTTTTAAAAAAAACTGAAATTGTGAAATCTACATTTAAAGTTAAAGTTTAGAAAATTTTTAATGAGAAACCAATTAATGTAAAAAAAAAAAAGATATCTCATACATGCATTGCACAATTTTTCTCAGAAATTTTGCAAAACTAATACTTTTCTCAGGATACCCAGCCTTAGTGTCAGTCAGATGATCAGTTTCCAAGTGTCCTGATAACCCAGGAGGTAGATAATCTGTCTGTAGTTCGGGTCCCAAGTTCGTCATCTGATGTGGTCCCTGACAATTGTCCCTATTTGTATTTAATGTCAAGACCATACACTGGGGGGTAACTGATGAGTATTAAATGACTTGATGTTTCTATGTCATTTGGTGTCTTTAAATGTGCATGTAGTCATGAAAAATAAAGAAATGATGCTCAGGAAAGTCTGTTTATTAATTTTTGGACAGATACAAACGTTTTAGAGTTCTAGAGCCTGGGTAGGTTGAATCCATGACTGGTCCACTGCACGTACTCTCTCTTTTCCCGTTATGCTATTTGATTTTGAGTGCTCTGGCTAGGCAACTCGTAATGAAACATCATAGTGTACTGTAAGTTTACCAGATATCCTTAAATTTCGTTATTTGGATGAAAAGTGCTTGAGGTAAAAGAATTTTTTTTAAAAAAAGGACTAAGATCTTTGTTACGATTTTCTGACACTGAATACAATTACATTTTAACACTGATTTATCATTAAACAATAAAATATGGATATGTTCTCTTGATGGCTCCGCCCTCACTAACGGTTGCACCGTCTAACATATTATTAATAACCTGAGAATATTCGCAGAAATTATGCACGTCCTCCTTGAGTCCGGATTGATAATTTTATCGCATGACGTCATTTCCTTGAAATTTCTGGAAATTTCTGCGGGACTGTTTCAACAACAGCCATTGAGGCGTTTTAGCCGACTGCATTTCACGTGTCTTCCAGAAGATACGAGTATTCGAACAAAAAGTTTACTGAATTTCTTCTCATAATCGAAACAAAGTCGTAAGGGACAGACATGTCGGTCGTTGGAGTAGATGTAGGTAGCCTCACGTGCTACACAGCTGTAGCTAGGACGGGGGGCATTGAGACCATAGCAAACGAGTACAGTGATCGATGCACGCCGTAAGTACAAAGAATTTTTGTGAAATAGTAGTCAAAACGGAGAGAGTAAGGCAGAATTGAAAAAAAAATCTTTAATGTGTTTTGAGAATGTTCTGGATCAGATAGAATTACAGGCTTCGAAAGTTACGATAACCTTTCTTAAAAGTAAATTATGAGTGAACAAGGCTAACAGTGGTTAAAGAAGTTCAAGTTCGCAAATAATTGGTTGTGGTGTACTGTGAAGTCACTTGGTATGTCTGTAAGACAGAGACCCTGAGAACCACATGAAGAATGGCAACATAGGAGGAAGCAATAGAAGGAGCCAGCGCTCCCACACCACTTTGTGTACTAGAGTTGCAGGAAATGTGAAATCGTTGGTGGGGGTTAGTAAAATTAACAGACTTGTCAAAAACCGTTGGTCCAGTAGGCAGGGCCAGTGAAATATTATCTTGACCGATAACTTGCAAGAAAACTTTGGTCCAAAGGATCATTTGGAAGAAAATTTGAAGCAAATTTTTAAAAGCAGGAATGTGGTGCATAGAAGAAGGTCACAAAACAGCAGAGAAGGTCATGTGGTGACTGTGGTTGTTTAAATTTGTTAAAGCAGAGACATAAATCGTAATTTATGTCTCCGATTAAAGGGGCTGGGACACAGATTTGATGTTAATATTCTCTCAAATTTTCTATATAATATCATCGCTTGTATGTTGCCATAGCATTTCACAAAGAAATGTAATAAAAACGTTAAGAAACTTCTTTTATCTGGAAATTATTAAAACTATGAAATTTGGGATGCGTTTGATTGACACGTATACTAGAAACTTTATTGTCTTTTAATGAAAATATTGAAACTATAATCTACAAAACTAAGAGTAGAAATGCGAGAAAGCAAAAACAACTCACCTGTATTGTCAGTCTGTGTTCAGTGATGTGTGCAGAATTTAACAAATCAAACGAACCCGGTGAAACGTAAACATTAACAATAACAGAGCTCGTGCCCTGTTTACAAGAACAGATGTTTGATGTGATGTGAAAAAGAATGTCGTTGACATTGAATTCTAAGAATATTCATGTAACATAAAAACTCTTTGCATTGTATTGTAACTTTATCGTTACTAAGGCTAATTTTGGAAATGACATTCACTTGGAAAAAAACAGACACTGTAGAATCTTATAGTTTTGTGAGATAAAATTTTTGTGGTTTGAGGAAAGTTTTGGTTCGTGGGGATTTGATTTTGAGGATGAAGAACTGTTGAGTAGTTGTGTGTATGAAAATTTATATTTTTTGTGGTGGACATGAATTCATGGGTCTCTTCATACCTTGATAACAATGAAAATTAAACCCCCCTGGAAAATTGTGATTTCACACTATCAATTTGAATAGCAAAAAGAGCCATTTTGTGGTCCCTTAGGTGATAATCAATAGTAATGGAAGAGATAGCAAGTCAAGAACTTGGGGGAGAGAGGAGAAGAGAAGGCTAGGGCAGGTTGTGGTTGATAAAAATTGAACTGAAGATGTGACAAGATACTAAGCAGTGGTTTTTGTGTTGCAGTATGCATAGACGACTTTTACATTTACAAGAGTTATTTGCCTTTGCAGGGTCAATAGGGGGTCAACTGACATAAGATACTCTACAACATTACTAACTTTAGGCCAATGTCTGACAAATAAAATCTATGTGTACATTCTTAGGGCTGAAACGATACGCTCCCTCCACGATACAGTATGTATCGCAATACTTGTGTCACAATTCAATTTTTTCAATATGATACATTTTAAAAAAGAAACAAATCGTAAGGTTAAAGAAAACGTATTCAGATTTCAAAAGGCAAGTAAAAGGTGTGATACAATAAGGAGCACTACTTGTGCTTCTGTAGATTAAAAGAGCACTTTGTTTGTGTCAATACTAGCAGTGGCAGCCTGCTCTGAAACTTTCTCCGTTGCAATTTTCTCCCTCGTGTGTCAAACTATTAAAATGAGGTCGAACCTGATCTATTTGAAGGAGTAACCAAACCCAATTATAAGAAAACATACCGAACTGAAAATCGAGGTAGTGAATCAAACATTAAACCGAGCAGTAATATTGAATAATATCGATATTTTGGTGAATCATTTCAGTCCTATACATTCTATATTTTTCCTTTGTTGCCCCCAACTATGCCAATATAGAAATGGTATAATATTATTCAAAGATTGTTGAAAATTTAAAAAATTTTACAGGTAAGGTACAAAGGATATAATGAGAAAAATAATTGTTATGCTGACAAGGGGAAATAACTCTTGAAAATATAAAACTCATTTATTGTCTTCCTTATTTATCTCTCTACTTTCCCATAATACTTCGGCTAGGCTTTGGGGGGGGGGGGGGCAACTGATACTTTATACTTAACATGTTTGAAAGTCATAGAAGTACCCTTAAACCAAAGGCAAAATTGAACTTCTGTAAAATGACATAACCTTACTATGATCTATGGAAACTTGCATTGAAGTAAAACTTTATTTTTGTGTTTATTTCATTTTTCAGAGCTTATGTGTCTTTGAATGAGAAAACAAGGTCCATTGGAACCTCTGCCAAAAATCAGTGTATCACAAATGTGAAAAATACATTCTCCTGTTTTAAAAGATTTATTGGAAGACAGTATGATGATCCCTTGGTGCAAAAAGAGTTGCAGGATCATCCAAAACCATTTTTAGTTAATAAGAGTCCAACAGGAGGCATTGTATTACAGGTAATATCACAAATATGTATAATTGTCAGTATTGCATTGGAATTCATCCCTGCATTTCTCACGGAGATCATTTTAATTTGCAATTGTTTCTTAGTTATTTGCAATTGGTGAATTCTTTTTGGAAAATAAAGTTTCAAACAAACCTTTTCTTTCTACAGGCTAGATACATGGGTGAGTTGCAATCATGGACTCCAGAACAAGTGACAGCCATGTTGCTGACCAAGATAAAAGAAACGGCAGAGAATGCTCTAAAAACCAAAGTTGTTGACATTGTTGTGTCTGTAAGTACAAAGTCGTGCTGAACTCATGCTGTAGATGATTGCCATGAAGTACTTAGGAGTACTTTGATGTTTTATTGTTCTGCTTATTTTTCAGGTACCCAACTATTTTACAGATGTTGAGAGGAGAGCCATGCTGGATTCCTGCGAGATCAGTGGATTAAACTGTCTCAGACTTATGAATGATTCCACTGCAGGTAATGCCTGATATGGGAGCTCAGCATTTACTTCAAATCAATGCTGCTAGATCAATCAGTAATATTTATGCCCACCTTCGAAGAAGGGAGGGCATATCGCTTTGCTGCTATCGGTCGGTCTGTCTGTCGGTCCCCAACAGTTTCCTTTCATTTTCTTCGCAGAGGTTGCACATGCTGAAATGAAATTTGGTATACAGATTTATGATAAGAATATATAGGTGAAGTTCTGTTTTGGATATGATCAAGCAATTTTTGACAGAGTTGTACCTCTTGGACTTTGATAAATTCCAATTATCGGTGGGGGGGGGGGGGGGTCATAAGTGTTTTACAAACATCTCTTGTTTCATACTAAGGGTGTACATGGTGTAGTGTAAGTATAAAAAACCAATGAGAAACATTTGAATTGTTCTGCTATGGATTGTATATTTTAAGATTGTAGATACAAGAATGTATTTGAAATTATTTTGATTGACTTATTTTCCTCTGACTGTTTTCATTACATTGATTTTAGCTTCGCTGGCGTATGGTATATACAAGCAAGACCTACCTGGAGAAAATGAAAAACCAAGAAATGTTGTCTTTTTGGACATGGGATATTCAACCACACAGGTTGCAGCTGTGGCATTTAATAAGGGAAAACTAAAGGTAACGTGTACTAGCAGAGATTTACTGTTTTAATGGATGGCGAGATGCACAAAAATTTAACAGAATTTCAACTGAAGATATATTAAAGAATACTGCATGATATTCCATGCCTACATTGTTAGAAAATGTGATAATTTTATGAATCATTAAGAGGAAGCAATAGACTTTCATAAAATTTGGATGTGAATGAACTAATAGGTTCATGACATTGGAGGTATATTGGTAGATACTGATAAGTAAAAGTATATTTCAGATGCTGGCAGTGGAATCGGATCCTTGTCTAGGAGGGAGAGATTTTGATAAAGTACTTGTGGAGTATTTTGCTGAAGACTTCAAAACAAGATACAAAGTTGATGTTCATACTAATCCTAAGGCTTATGTGAGATTGACTCAAGAATGTGAAAAACTGAAAAAGTTGATGAGTGCAAATTCAACAAACATTCCTATAAACATTGAGTGTTTCATGAATGACAAGGATGTGTCTGGGAAAATGGATAGGTAGAAATTTTGAATCAGTAAATTTTAACATATTGGTATGAAAAGATGCATTGTAGCTTGAGTAAAAAGGAGGTTTTCTTTTGTATGGGACAGAAATGTCACCCTTTTTCACTAGTCGCACATTTTTCAATGAAGTTCAAACCAAGTGCATCTCTCTAACTTCAGGATGGGCTTGTTATTTAATTGCTGCTATCATTGAAATGATAAAGACATCCCAGCACTACCAATAGAATGGATCTGGTCTGATTCAGTAATTTATCCTTCCCATTTTCTTAGTAATACTGAAAGATGACTTTAAATTACACAGCTTTTATTTTACAGGGCCAAATTTGAAGAGCTGTCTGAACAGTTGTTGGCAAAAGCAAGAGCATTATTCACAAAAATCAAGAATGAATGTAGTAAGTTGTATTTTACAAAATGAGAAAATATTTATGTACATGACTGTAGAAATTTCTTGTGTGTAGGTAAGAAGGGAGTTAAGTCGTGGCTTTATGGGAAATATTAGTACCTTGGATTTAATAATACTGTATGTGTACATAAATTGGCGCTTTCAAAATTTAGCGCAATCACTAGTTATGGAGTTGTTGGCCAAATCATGAATTAGGCAATACACGTCTGTGCCGTATATTGTATTTATAAATGATTTCGTAGCAGTATTCATGAATTAGCGCATCGTTGTCTGCACCAAAGCCGCTAAAATATGAAGCCCACATTTTTAAGTACACATACAGTATGATGAAATAAACAATGTTGGACAATGTCTGCATTATAAAATTATTCTACATGATTGCTTCTAAAATCGAAAGATTTTTGATTGGAGAAGAGCATGATTGTTATTTTCAAAAACTGGTGCCTTGATAGTGTATTAAAAAAAATTTGAAATTTTGATTGCAGAAGACATATACTCTGTTGAAATCGTGGGAGGTTCTTCGCGTATCCCAGCAGTAAAGAACTTGGTGCAGGAAATATTTGGCAAGGAACCAAGCACAACTTTGAATGCAGATGAAGCTGTTGCACGTGGCTGTGCTCTGCAGTGTGCTATCTTGTCTCCAACTTTCCGTGTTCGAGATTTTAACATCATTGATACACAGCCCTACCCCATTACACTCTGTTGGCAAGGGGGAACAGAAAATGATTCGTAAGGACAGAAGTATTTTATAAATCTGAAATATACAGTAAGAAGTTGGATTTTATCCAATAATGGAGATGTGAAAAACTTATGATGAATATTAACATTAGATACTGTTCCAACTAGGGGGAAATGGAGGGATGCTGTGCCCCACCCTTAAATCAGCATGCCCTCCCCCCCAAAGGCACCCCTTCGTCCCCTGTCAGTGCCCCATATCACTCTGACTGTCCTCTTCCCTCATTAGAATAAGTGACCAAAGGACAATCAACAATTGACAAGATGCTCCTATGTATCATAAGCTTTAAACTGTAAGTTGCAAAAAGTGCCCCTGCACCTCTCCATTTTCAGATCCTAGTTGGAACACTGATTAGAGCATTCGAATCTGTATCTGTTACAAGATCAGAATTTGAAAGAAAAAAATAGTATGTACATGTATTTGCAGGTCTTTGGAGGTATTCCCAAGATTTCATCAAATCCCATTCTCAAAGATGTTGACCTTCTACCGTAAGGAACCATTCCAACTTGAGGCCAGATATACATCACCAGAAATTGTCCCACATAAAGAGTCATATCTAGGTAATCTTTGCATATTGACACTAAAGCTTGTGAAAAATGCTTATAACTGTGTGAGAATTATTTTAAGGAAAGATAACCAATATGTATTGTAGTTGCATTTTATTATCTCATAAATGCTTTTATTATTTCAGGGTGTTTTAATATACAAAAGGTCACACCTGCTGCAAATGGGGAAAGTGCAAAAGTGAAGGTAAAAGTTCGAATCAATAATCACGGAATTTTCTCTGTAATGTCAGCCACACAGACAGAACAACTGGAGGATGAAGGAAAGGAGGAGGAAAGCATGGATGTTGATGGAGAGAAAAAGACAGAAGCCCAAATTAATGGAGAGGTATGATGAAGGATTTTATCATGATCATTTTTTAGCATTTGTGTATCCCAAGTGAATATTGGGATTGCTGTTATCCTGTGATATGTCCCCAAGGCAATTACCTTTGAAGGTTTCTAGCCTCGTATTAATTTATGGGTAAAATCATACAAAGCTGGCAATTTATTTATACTGAAACGTTTTCTACTTGATTCATTCTACGCAGACAAATTTGTAAGTATCCTATAGGATATCCGTTAATTATAAAAAAAGTGCCTCTAATAAAAAAAATTCCTTTAATCAGTCTTCTGTTTAAATTTTAGACACCAATGCAGACCGACCAATCGGGGGAAAACAAACCTGCTGAGAAAAATGAAGGTGGAGAAGAGAAAAAGGAAGAGGTAAAGAGGAGGGATAGTTTATATATGATGATCAGGGTTCTCCATATCTGAAAATTTAACCATAGAGGAAGCTGCGCGAAAGTTTAATTTTTCTTCTCTGCATTTCTTGCTGATTTCCTCCATTGTTTACCTCTCCACGTGCCCGTGCTAAAAATAGCTCTATGCGATGTTTCCTAAAAATGGGAGGTAACTCTAAAACTTAGATCCCATGGACAAATTTTTTGTAAAGATAAAAGAAATAAATATTAAAAACAAAGCAAGGTGAATTGATTATAAACAAGAGAAAAAGAAATTTGACAGGATGAATTCTTTCCAGGAGGGACTTGTATACTAATTATTGTTATATACATGTAGGTCCCTGTTTCTGGCCACCAAAACTTGATTCGGATGCTTATTGATTATCACCATGATCACGTTAGACATAGTAAAAATTACATTACTGTGCTGCGTCTTATTTTTTGTAAATCTTTTATTATATGGTGAACATATTCGATATCCCCAAAATTACATGTGTACAGGATAATTTACTCTGATGATAATGATCATCAGCTGATTGACTATCAATTATCATGCTTCACGACGTATTTGCCGATGAACAACCATGTTTGTTGAGCACAAACCCCTTTTTCTCAAAATGCCATGGCCGCCATGGTAAAACCCCTTGTGGAGAACCCTGGATGATTGGCGAGTTATTACTATCCCCTGGTAGACCAATAGTAAATGATTAATTCAGATGTTGTGATAGGGATCTGAAGAACAAATTCTCAAAATTATTTCTAACTTGTAATCTGTAAGAAAATTCCGTATACACTATGTGTTGAACTAGAGTGAACATTGTTTTTCCTCCACTAGGGTAAAGATGAAAAAGATACCAAGAAAACAGTAAAGAAGAAGGTGAAGAAAACAGACCTTCCTGTAGAACAACTCGTTCCTCAACTGCCAGCGGGAGAGATTCTCAAACTAGTGGAACGCGAGGTAAGATAGAAGTCGTGTTACTGTAGAAGCACAAATTCTCGGGGGGATAAAATTTCGTTGATTTGTCATCTAAAAAGGTTTCGTGGGCATTAAATTTTGTTGTTTCAAAAGTAACCCTATTCATTATATAGTCATATTAAAAAAATGTATGGGATTTTTTTTCATTGATAATTGTTAACAACAAAAGAAACAAAATTTAATCCCAGAAGAATATTCCTGCTTTTACAGTATGTTGATTTTAAGTAGCTAATTTGCTTTGGTAGTCCCTGAATGTTCTATAAATTAAGATCCTTTCTCATTCATTGATATTCTCATCTGAGATGGAAGTGTGAAGGATATACATGTATATTTACACCTCTTTATTTGCCTTGAATGTTAAGTAATGAAGCACTAGTTAACGTGAGACACTGATTCTTAATTTTTATAATGCTTGTTTAGAATGAAATGAAGATGCAGGATAAGATGGAGAAGGAACGTGGTGATGCCAAAAATGCCGTGGAGGAGTATGTGTATGATATGAGAGACAAGATCAGAAGTGAATATGCCCCATTCATGAAAGAAGAGGTAGGTTTTAATGGTATAAAGTAAAAAGTTTAGGTAGTTATTATTATACCCCCGCTCCGAAGGAGAGGGGGGTATACTGTTTTACCCTTGTGTGTCTGTCTGTCCGTCTGTCCGTCTGTCTGTCTGTCCGTAACAAATTTTGGTCGCAGTTCTCTCAGGAACTACTCATTGCAGATGCTTGAAATTTTAGCACAATCTTTGTTTAGGCATGCCATATGGTGGGATTCATTTTTGTACGAATCCGATGTCAACTTCCTGTTTATCCGTGCGTCTGTCCGTTCCATACATAAAAAATTTTGGTCGTGGTTTTCTCAGCAACTACTCATTGCAGATGCTTGAAATTTTAGCACAATCTTTGTTTAGGCATGCCATATGGTGGGATTCATTTTTGTACTAATCCAATGTCAACTTCCTGTTTATCCGTGCGTCTGTCTGTACCACACATAACAAACTTTGGTCATGGTTTTCTCAACAACTACTCATTGCAGATGCTTGAAATTTTAGCACAATCTTTGTTTAGGCATGCCATATGGTGGGATTCATTTTTGTACTAATCCGATGTCAACTTCCTGTTTATCCGTGCGTCTGTCTGTACCACACATAACAAACTTTGGTCGCAATTTTCTCAGCAACTACTCATCACAGGTGCTTGAAATTTTAACACACTTTTTGTTTAGGCATGCCATATGGTGGGATTCATTTTTGTACAAATCCGATGTTAACTTCCTGTTTATCCGTGCGTCTGTCTGTATTATACATAAAAAATTTTGGTCGTAGTTTTCTCAGCAACTACTCATTGCAGATGCTTGAAATTTTAGCACAATCTTTGTTAAGCCTTGCCATATAATGGGATTCATTTTTGGAACAAATCCGATGTCAACTTCCTGTTTATCCATGTGTCTGTCCGTACCATACGTAGCAAATTTTAGTTGTAGTTTTCTCAGCAACTACTCATCGCAGATGCTTGAAATTTTAGCACAATCTTTTTTTAGGCATGCCATATGTTGGGATTCAGTTTTTACAAATCCGTTGTCAATTTCCTGATTATCACTGTGTTTGTCCATAACCGAACTTGTGTATTCACATCAGAGCGGGGGTATTATTAGTGAGCATTGGCTCACAGACTTCTTGTTGGTCTTATTTTATTGTTTTAATTGCCTATTCTAGTTTTCAAAACAGGACACTGGATTGAAAAGGAAATAGGATTGCATTTTCTTGCTATTTCTCATTTTGTATAAGTGAGCAAGCATTTCTAAATGTGCCAAATAAAACTGATTCCTTAGGGAGAATCTATTACCCATTAGGCCAAAATAAATAAATAGTGTGTTTCCTATTCCAACCTGATAAAAAATAGGGTAGGTAGGTAGGGAAAACATTTTATTTTATTTTAACATTTTATTAGTTAAAATTCAACTTTGACAGTAAACAAAATGAGAAAAACAAAGAGTTCATTTCTTTTTCCCGAAAGGGTGGCTTACTAATAGCATTTCTGTTTAATGTGTATAGGATATGCATTTTCTCAAACACTAAAGTGATCGAGATTAGGATTTCTAATAGTGAAATTGGAATTGTTTACTTCCGGAAAGATATCAGCGGATAAATTTTCAGGGTCGCTAAGATAGACATTAACTTTCAGATTTACCTGCCCTTCGGGCTAGTAATCTCAAACTTTGACTTGTCCGAACGCAAAACTTGGTTGCCCAAAATAAGGAAAGAACTTCAGAAGAAATTTTTTTATTACTGTAAATATTATGACGAAAAAATGTAACCAAATACACTACCGTCAATTTGGTAAGGTGAGGTACCTGAAAAAATTTCGATGCTGCGTTTGTACATAAATGTATACCACTGTCCTTGTAAATTTAACCTGTTAACACACACTGCCATGAAGCAATAACCCTCCATTTATATAAAATTCATATTTTTAAAAAATTATTTTCAGTAGGATTCTTTTGTGAATCGTGATTTTCTGAGATAACTGTGAAACAACGCTGAAGGAAGATAGTTGCTACGTAACATACATCGATCTTTACCTTGATCAGGATACTTCGTGTTACACTGTACTTATATTCTGTAAGTGAATAAATAATCTAATTTCCAAATAAGAAGTTAACAAAAATGTTAGACGAACAGCATATTTACCAGGGAAAAAGAACGGAATAACAAATCCGATTTTCAAATGAAAGGTATAATCCAGAAATGCTGACAAGGAATTCCGAATACAAAAACAATGTCAGTCAGGTACCTGGCAGAAATCAAGTCTTCGATTTATTGTTTTTTATATAAATTAATGTAAACTAAATAAATATGTACATTTCTATGAGGAAAAAATCACTTGCCCGATCGGGAATTTACTTGTCCCGGGCAATCGGACAACCGTTAATGTCGATCCCTGGGTCGGCTCATATATTTTAGGGCTGATCAGGGAACCAGAAACACACAATTTATTTATGTAGGCTTAACAAAATTAAACTTATCAAAAGGGGTTCAACTTACAGTGATTTTATGGATGATAACATATTCCATTGTTTACCTGAAAAATGCTCAAGTTCTAGATCTGCAAAGTTAGCTTTATTTTGAAAATCTTTTGAATATAGAAGACTGTACATAAGTTTAATGTTTTACATGGAGCATATTTATTAAATGTCAAATAGAAATTTTTTTGTTGCTTTTTTAGGATGCAGAAAAGTTCCACAAGCAGTTAACAGACACAGAGGACTGGTTATACGATGAAGGAGATGATCAGATGAAACATGTCTATGTAGAAAAACTGGATGAATTGAATGTAAGAGGGAATATCATAAGTTGTTAAACATAATCTTAAGGAGGTATTGTATTCATACCATGTTCAACCAATTGTCAAATCATACCCTACCAATACACATGTATCTGTGTAATGGAGAAATGTTGCCAAATCATACTAGACACAGATGATTTCATTTGACTGAAGGGTTTGCCATGACCTTGACCAAAATTCATTTGGACAAGTGCATTGTCACTGGCAGTTATAGAATAATTTCAATATATGACTTGCCACTGTTTAACCCCTCCCCATTTAGGCATATTGTGATGCATAAAATGCTCTTGGGTGCTTATTGGGACAGATATGGTTCAAGTATTTCAAATATTTGCATCATTGACATATGGTTCAAGCATTTCAAATATTTGCATCATTGACAAGATTAGATGCCATATCAATTTAGTAAACTCTTTGCACCTTCCTGCTGTTACTCATATTGTGTGAGGCAACATTCACCAAGAGTGCTAGATAAATACAGAGAGCTTTTGGGGAGGTTAGCTATATGGAACTCTCCTCACTCTTCTCTCATACAAACAATAAATAGATTGAAATGATTAAAACATAAATGAGAAATATGTCATTGATATTTTGTAGTGGTTATAAGTTTATTTTGAAATTTTTCTGGAGGACATCAGAAGCCTGATCATTCACATTTGAAAAAGATTTATTTGTTACAGAATTGTATGTTGTTATTTATTGCATAATTTAATTAAGAATCCTTAAGCAGATAATTTGCTGTTGACAAATACTGGTAGAAGACTTCTCTCAATTTCAGTCTAAATAATGATGAATTTATTTATTTGATATATTTTGTCTGAATATTCAAGAACAAAAATAAGAGGAAAACATCAGTTTTTTCGGGCAGATATTTTCAAAAGCAAACAAGGAAAACTGTTTCCTTTATTTCTGTTCCACAAAGCTAATTGGGGTTCTCAGCATCAATTTGTTATAGAATTCCCTATTCAAATTAGTTCCTGTACAAGTTTAAAGTAAGTAAAAAAATGATCAAAGAGCATTTGCTTGATTGATTAATTTATTGATTGGACTCGGCTTTTTCCCGGCCATCATAAATCATTAAAAAAAATTCAAATCCAGCCTATGTTTGTCATAAATCATTAAACAAAATCAAATCCAGCCTATGTATGTTGGTTTTTTTTCTGTGAATCTTCAATTATGGGGGCACATAGTTTTTGGTCTGTTTGTCTCCCTGTCTATCTGTTAATCTGTTTGTCCACAAAAACGAAGCTTGTCCATAACTATTGAATGGTTTGTTCTAGGGCCTTTGTATTTTACATGTGTATTCCTTCTTCGGGTACCAACATAAATGACCTCTCAACCTTGAAGTTTGACCTAGATTTGCAAAATTTTACCAAACTTTTACCTTGGCCATAACTTTTGAACGGTTGGTGCTAGGGCTTTTATATTTCAATACAATATGTATTCCATGTGATTAAACTCAAAGTTTGACCTTCATTTTGGAAAAAACTTTTACTTTGGCTATAAGCTGCCAGTCAGGGGAATCAGTGTTTCACAAACACATCTTTTTTTTTTCCAATGAACACCAATTGCAAACAGATTATGATCTTTTGTATTTATGATATCAAAAAACATTTTTGCAGTAGAGAAAGCTCACAGCTATCAAAGTTTATTTATTAATGAGACAAAGGAAAATACTCACACTGTCAGGTTGAGTATTTCTAAAGCATATTGAGGCACCTTCCTGCTGTTACTCATATTGTGTGAGGCAACATTCACCAAGAGTGCTAGATAAATACAGAGAGCTTTTGGGGAGGTTAGCTATATGGAACTCTCCTCACTCTTCTCTCATACAATCAATACACCTAACATCAAGGGTAGAACATCATGTCTTTATAGACATTTGTCACTTAAGAATTCTGTGTAGTTTGGAGTAATGTGATTAATGTTTTAATTTTACTATAATGTAACAAATTGTGGTCTATTCTTTGTAGAAAATTGGTAAGCCTGTGCAGGATCGACACAGGGAACACACAGAGAGGCCGGCAGCGTTTGAGGAGTTGGCAAAATCCATCACACACACCCGCAAATTTCTGGATCTCGTAGCACAAAAGGTATAGCCATAATTTTGTGCACATGTTCTAGGAACTTGGATGTAATTTAATGGTTTTATAAGATATAGAGATGAAATCTTTTAAAATCTAATTACAACTACAAAGCATATTCTCAGTATCTTGACTCAATACCACCAGACTACATAAGAGATGTAAAGGATTATCATGTACATGAAAATGAGATAAATAAAATGCTTCCTATAATATTTTCACAGGATGAAAAATATGATCATATAGATCCAGCTGACATAGAAAAAGTAAAGAAATGCTTGGGTGAAAAGACAGACTGGTATGAAAAAAATTTAAATGCCCAGAACCAACTGAAACCATACGATAAACCTGCTGTGTTAGCCTCTCAAATTTTGTCAACAAAGAAGGTAAGAAAAACAAATCAGCACTTACTTTCGCTTACTCTTTAATATTAGGACTTTGTTGGGTTTGGGGATTGTGAAAATTCAGATAAGTCAGTGATAATGAAGAATTTCTGCTGCTGAAAATAAATTTCATATACACTTTCATGCCATTTCTTTATTGTAAAAAGTTTTAACAAGTCAGAACATTTTTTTTCTGAAAAACACTGTGATTAGTAGTAAAAGAACACTAGCATGGTAAAGAAATTCTGCGGGATAAATTTTGCTTTCATGTTTTAAATTGATATTCATTGTGTATGTTATATGACTGGTCTTCTTTGATGTTTTTGGCTTGAGATTTCTATATGAAAGCTAATATCGATAGAAGAAGGAAAAATATTGGAGTTGGAACCCAAGACCTCTTCAATAGTCGAGATATATGTACAGTTTCATTTGTTTAATTCTTGTTCCGTTGATAAATGTTGGGCAATAAGAAGAAATATTACGCACACAGTACTAATCATTGTTATAAACTTTGGGAGATAATAAGTGATGATTTTTGTTCAAATTTTCATTTATACAGACATTAGACTCGATGTGTCATCCCATCATGAATAAACCCAAACCAAAAGTAGAACCCCCAAAGGAGGAAAAGAAAGAAGAGAAAAAAGACGATAATAAAGACTCAGCCCCAGCATCTGGGGAACAACAAACAAATAATTCCGCAGAGGGAGGGCCCAAACAGGAGATGGAGGTGGATTGAAGAAGGTTAAACTTAAGCCATGTTATTTATTTTGTAGCTACCCAGCGATTGCTTTCATCAAGTGCTACATGTATTGGCTTCATTTATTAAAAACTTCTCATCTTATTGTAATGCATTACAGATTTATGTTTCAGGAAAACAATTGTGTTCTTGTAGATCACAGATAATAATTATTGAAAACCATCTTTATTTTTGATTCAGATTTAAATTATTGTTTATAAGTTGTGAAGAGAACATTTTTTAAAGATTGAAAGGCATGGTATTGCTTGAAAGCGTGTGACAGCATTGAAATCTGTACTGTAAGGAAGATCTAGCTGTCAGAGAATGAATATCTAGTATTTGTTGATGTATAAATGCACGTAAATTTTATGTAAATTAATGACTGTGTTTTTTGTACACTATATTAGTTTACAATAAAAACATTTGGAATTGACATATTTGTCATATTTATGTTTTCTGTACCAAGATTACTCAGGTTAATTTAAAAACAATACTGACGTTAGATACCTTTTACACAGATATTACAAGTGCATTTTTTAAGAGTTTGATCAAATGATAGAATTACTAAATAAATATTGAATGATTAATCACTGCTGGCTGGATGTAAGTCACTAGTCAGATTTTTTTCTCCATAAGCAATTTGAGCAAGTATTTGAACAATCCATGTTTGAACAATTCGTAATATTTGAAATGCTATTCATGTGAAGTTTGTTGTCTGCAATGTATTTGTATAGGGTAAATTGCATATTGTTATAGTGTAGGTTTAGAATGTGCATTTCTGTTCTAGTTTTTTTGTAAATGAAAACTAAATACATCTAAGTCATGAAAATTATGTTTGGGGTAGTTACTTGTTATAAGCTCCAGATGCATGGTAGATTTTATGAACAAATGCACTGTATGTCTGTGGCAATATGAGCATACAATTGTGAAATCCAAATTATAAATGAAGGCTAAGCCATGATTCTAAATTTTTAAATTAGCATTTCGGTTTTTTATCTTTGTTAAAAATTAATGTGCTTTGAAGGCAGAAAATGGTTTAGAAATGGTAGAAATAATGGAATAAGAAAAATTCCTGCATCAATTTTTTTTTAAATATTAGGTATATCTGCCCCATATACAAGCAAAGACAACATGTGGGCAGTCTTACACAACAAGTATTAGCTCTATATTTATGAAGTTACAGACATGACTAGGGTGATGTAAGAGAACTTTTTGATTTAATCTGTTTTCAACTTTCTTTTCAATCTATTCAATAAAAAGTTTCCGAAAAATGTTGTGCTTAATTTCTCTTATGAATTAGAAGGGTAAATTGCTTATAATTGAAATAGTCTTTGGAGAGAGAGAGAAAAAAAAAAGAACTTCAAAAATGTCTGAAATATGGTATTAAACATATGACTATAATCGACCCTGGAAAACAAGTCATTGAATATTAGGTTTTGCACAGAATTTACTGTAAGTGAAATCATTACATATGTAATCATTTTTGACTTGAAACAGAATGGTGCCAGAAATTTGGTAACCAGCTGTCACTTGTAAAGAAAGATGGTAACACAATAATGAGCAACCCTCTGTTGCAACTTTTGGAATTTACTGGTGTGGGAAATTAATACATGTAAATGGAGTATTTACATTTTCCTGAATCTGTTGGGATGATTTTTTTTGGCTTTAATACCAGTCTTTATTATACATCCATTTTTTTATTCTTCAGAAAAATAATAATTATTAAAGGAAAGTTGAGTAGGATTTTTTAAAGATATCGAAACACATAGAGCTAAACATTTATAGCAAAGTACTTAAAATAAAATTGTTATTTAAGAATTAGAAATCCATACAAATGGATTTCTGTGCATTTGCATTCTTTTTTTTTTTTGTTGTTAGTGTTTTGTTAAGAAACACCAATGCATAACATTTTGTATGGGGGACAAAGTTGTGCAAAATTACTTGCTGAGAAGCATATCATTGGAATGTGAATAGTGTAAGCTGCATATATTATGCTTGAAAAAGAGATGTCTATGATATGATGTAATAGTCATATTGTTCTTGTTAAAGTGATGAAGGCATTGCAATATTGTGCCTGGGAAGGGCAAAATATTTGACATTTGTTCACAAATAAATGGAAAAAAATTAATCTGTTTTTTTTTCACTTTAGATAAATTTAGAAGTGCTTTTGAAGGCAGAATGCATGAAGATTTTAGAGTAAGGAAGTTATGTTATTTTGAAACTAGGAAATACTAGAATTTCCTGCATGGTTTTCAAGGATTATTATAGCTCACCTGATGTAGAGGCTCAGATGGGGTTTGGGATGGACCACACGTTCTTGAGTGATTTGATCTGTCCTGAAACTTGTAGACCCACTGGGTACTCAAAAACTGGATTTATAGCAAGGCTTTCTCATATACTGTGTTTTTCTATGTGTAAACATATTAGTTTTCAGGGTAATTAAAGAATAGAGAGGACATCAATACCAAAATGAGTGTTTAAGATTTTATTTGATTTTACATTAAGGTTATATGAAAAAAAAACAAAAAAAAAACTATTATTCCAGTTAATTATGAATCAACAATATCAAATAGAATTTTGACACAATTGTTTTCGAAAGTTCATAAAGCAACTAACTATATCATAATTTTTTTTGGTTCCTAGAGTTGGTTAGCAAAATAAAGTTTGGAAGTGGAAGTCGGTGTTTTCTTTTAAAATATGCCATGTTTTCTTCTCTTGATTTGTTTTCCCCATAGTAATTTAACATCTTTACTCTTTACTGTGATCATTAATTTAACTAACTATGGTTTTGCATTGATATAAATTGGGGGTGGGGAGGGTTGGAATTATTATAAAAACAAAAAGCAAAATATTTTCACAGTAAAGCTTAGTAAAGCTACAATATATATAGTAATTAGCATGTGATGTAAATATATAATTAATATTATTTTTATGTGTAATTATTTATCAAGCTAACCTGACAAATTATAATGCAAGCTAATGTGTTTTTAAACTTGTATTCAAATACATGTATGTTTATTTTGCAGTAAGATAAAGATATTATGATAGTGAGCATTGTAGCCTATGGGCCTGTTGGTATTTTGATTTGTTTCTGATGTGAATAAGTCCATGAACTCTCCTGCCAGCTATATTTGTTGTTGAAGATAACACTTTTGTGGAAATATTTAGCTGAAACTTTGTGTTTTACCATTTCAGTACTTTTTAAAATGCCTATAGATGTGATCCTCATTGAAAACTTTCTAGCCCACATATATGTGCTTTATCAAATCTCTAAACTTAGCTACAAAATTTCCTTGAAAATCCCCCAAATGGATGAATGAATGATAACACAATTTTTGGCTCACCTTGGCCAAATGATTTTAATGTCAGGATAGATGAGAGACTACATTTTGCATATAAATAGATTAGAAAATCCTGTAAAACCTTTACTAGCAAGATGAGATATGGATTTCTTTTTCTTTCAAAGTTGCATTGATATTGTCAAAAACAAAAAAACAAAAAAAAAAAAAAAAAAGCAAAAAACAAGATGTGTTTGTGAAACACTGATGCCCCCGTATGGCAGCTTATGGCGAAGGTTAAAGTTTCTGAAATGCAAGTCAGAATCCAGGCCAAAAGATAAAAAAATGTTAAGTTTGAAAGCCCTAGCTGCAACTGTTCAAAAGTTATGGCGAAGGTTAAAGTAAGTAAAACATCAAGATCAAGGTCAAAGTTGTTGGTATCCAAAGGAAGGTCTTGTCACAAGGATTACATATGTAAAGTATTAAAGCCCTAGCACCAACCATTCAAAAGTTATGGCCAAGGTTACAGGGATAGACATTAATTTTCAGATTCACTTGCCCTTCGGACAAGTGAACTCAAACTTTGATTTGCCTGAATGCAAAACTTGGTTGCCCAAAATTTAGAAAGAAGAGAAACCTATACGTGAGATATTATTTTATATTTGGCAAGTTAAGTGCCAGGAAATTTTTTTTTGATGTGCCGGTGATGCTACATTTTAAATACTTCTCAACTCACACTGCCATGCAGCAACATTTCCTTTTAAATAAAAAATTATATTTTTGAAAATTATTTTCTTTATGATCTTTTTGAGAATTTTGATTTTTGAATTTTGATTTTTCTTCCTGAAAAAATGAAGCACGCTAAAGGAAAACAGTGGCCATGTTTCGAAATATACATATCCTGATCAGAATACATGTACATCGTGCACCGAGAATAACTGGTGTTCGTTTATATTCTGTGAGTTAATAAATGAACTATTTTATAATATCTTATTTCATAATAAGAATGTAAAGAAAGTGTTGTCAGTTTTGTCAACTACCACGAAAGAAAAACGGAATATCGAACTCCATTTTTGAATAAACGGCACTACCGAGAAATTTCCGACTAAAAAAAAAAAACGATGTCATATTCCTGGTAGAAATCAAGTGTTCAAATTATTGTTCTGTTTATTAACTAATGTAAGATTTAAAAAAAAAAATCTATCAGAAATATTCACTTGCCCGATCAGACAAGTACATCAGCAGTTTCACTTGCCCGAACTGAGAATTAACTTGCCCCGGGCAATCGGACAACCGTTAATGTCGATCCCTTGGTTAAAGTTTTTCGAAAGTAGGTCAAACTCCTAGGTCAAGGTCAAAGGGTCAAAGTGGTTGGTATCCAAAGGAAGGTCTTGTCAAAAGGATTACATATGTGAAGTATGAAAGCCCTAGCACCAACCATTCAAAAATTATGGCCAAGGTTTAAGTTTTTCAAAAGTAGGTCAAACTCCTATGTCAAGGTCAAAGGGTCAAAGTGGTTGGAATTCAAAGGAAGGTGATGTCACAAGGATTACATATGTGAAGTATGAAAGCCCTAGCATCAACCATTCAAAAGTTATGGCCAAGGTTAAAGTTTTTCAAAAGTAGGTCAAACTCCTAGGTCAAGGTCAAAGGGTCAAAGAGGTTGATATCCAGAGGAAGGTCTTGTCACAAAGAATACACATGTGAAGTTTGAAACCCCAAGCACCAACTGTTCAGAAGCTATGGCCAAGGTTAAAGTCTCATAAAATTTTGCAAAAGTGGGTCAAACTCCAAGGTCAAGGTCAAATATGATGGTACTCAAAGAAAGGTCTTGTCACAAGGAATACACATGTGAAATACGAAAGTCATAGCTCCAACCAATCAAAAGTTATGGGCAAGGTTAAAGTTGACAACAGACAGATAGATAAACAGACAGACAGGACAAAAACAATATACCCCCGGGATCTTTCGATCCAGGGGCATAAAAACAGGTAGTCAAAGATTATGAAGCTTACCTCGATGAATGTTACTTAAAAGTAAGGCAAATCTCACCCATTTTTTTTTTCTAATTAGTGTGCATCCCAAGATCAATATCCATGCATGTTTGTTTTAAGTAGGACTTGTAGAACTTTACTTGGGAGTGGACCTGCTCCAAAAGCTTAACTTAAAAAGCAAGTCTTAAAAACTTTAACCTGTTCACTCATCCAGAAAATGAAGGTCAGATCCAGCATCCGAGGCAAGTCTGGTAGTGTCCATCCCTAGAGGCATTATTCATGCAGTTTGGTTCAGGTAGGGCTAACATTCACTCATCTTGAAAATACAGGTCAGATCCAGATCCCAAGCTGGTAAGGTAGTGTACATTCCCAGATGCATCATCCATGGAAGTTTGGTACAGGTAAGGCTTATATCTACCCGGGAATGAACCTGCTCAAAAAATCTTTAACCTGGTCACTCATTTGGAAAACGTCAGATCCAGGCTCTGAAGCAGGTCTGGTAGTGCTCATCCTTAAATGCGGCATCCATGCAAGTTTGGTCCAGGTAAGGCTTATAATTTTTAACCTTTTCATTCATCTGTAAAATTTGATCAAATAAGCATCCATAGCAAGTCTTGTAGTGTCTAGCCCCAGATGCATCACCCTAGCAAGTCTGGTTAAGATAAGGCTTATAATTTCTTAGAATGGACCTGCTCCAAAAACTTTAACCTGGTCACTCAACTTGAAAATGTAGGTCATATCCAGCATCCAAAGCAGGTTGGGTACTGTCCATTCCTAGATGCATCATCCATGCAAGTTTGGTCCAGGTAGGGCTTATACATGTAGTAAGCCCTACCTGGACCAAACTTGCATGGATGATGCATCTAGGGATGGACAGTTACCTGCTCTAAAAACTAATCTGTTCACTCGTCCAGAAAATGTAGGTCAGATCCATCACCCAAAGCAAGTCTTGTAGTGTCCATCCCTAGATGCATCATCCTTGAAATGAAATATGGAGATAGTGAATAATAATCAAGCTCAAGAGTCATTTGTCAAAAGTCATACAAATTGGGAGCAGAGCAGACATGGACCTCTAAAAATTCAGAGGTGGGATCAGGTGCTGTGGGTAGTAAGCCTGTTGACTGCTCACAACTACTGTGTGCTCATTGTCATGATCAGGCAAACAGAAAATTCTGTGGGAAATTCAGTGTTTATATAGTTGCATAACACTGGTCCAGGTAAAGGCTTAATATAGTACCTTGGGAATGGACCTGCTGCAAAAACTTCAACCTGGTCACTCATCTTAAAAATGTAGGTCAGATCCAGCATCTGAAGCAGGTTGGATGGTGTCCATCCCTAGATGCATCTTCCATGCAAGTTTGGTCCAGATAGGGCTTATAGTTAATTGGGAATAGACTTGCTCCTAAAACTTTAACCAGGACTCGGACGCTTACATCAAAGTGGGGGTATAGCATAAGCTCATCTCTACTTAGTTGAGGTGAGCTAAAGTGATTACAATGATCAATGATTACAAACCTATGTTCTCCTACCATATTTTTCATTCACATTAGGTCAAATTCAACTCTTCAGCATTTTTTTTTTGGGGGGGGGGGGGGGGGGGGTCTTGCTAAAATTTTATACACAGTTGATATAAGAATTTGTGTGCATTTGTAGATTAGAGTTATGTACCCCTGTTCATTTTGCTATACACTTTATTACATGTACAAGAAACAAATTTCTGTCATAAAACTGAGTCCAGAAGACAATATCATAGCTACATACCTGAACATTATAATACATCTGCATAGTATAATTTCAAATAATGTTAAAACATTTGCCCTAAGGGTTAACTTTGAGTAACTATAGATGGCCAGAATTTTACATTGGAATAATTTTAAAGATTTTTTTGTAGTAAAAAAATCTGAAGATGCAAGCATATTTGTGTAGTGTAGATTCAAATGTACTAATTGTGTTCAATGGGTCAGGGTTATGCCAGAGTAGCAAATCAAAGTTTTACTAGGATTTATATTAGGGATGGCAACGAATATTCGAATATTCATTCGATGAGTTGATATTCGAATATGAATTTAAGATTCGAATATTCAGTGTTTTTCAGATTTCATAAAAAGAAGTACTGTGATTAATAAATTTTGATTAGAACAGTGCTGGCTTTATCCCTGTTTATTTTACTAGCGATCAATTTCGATCACCTGATTTCTTTCACTACTTTCTCAGCTTATAAATCTACTAAATAACATGTATTTTGTTTTGAGTAAGGTGTTAAAGAATTGTACAATAATGCTTTAATTATAATACAAAACGCACTGTCATAGTTTGTATTAGTTAGATAGGATCGAATCTAGAATTGAAGACAACAAATGAAATCTAAGAATGTCTAAAAGGCGTGAAGAGTCTACTTATCAAAATAAAATTAATTGATCATTGAATGAATGTCCGATAGAATTAATCTGTAATTAATATTGTAAAAGGCTTAATTTCAGAATAAATGTGTAAATTACTTGATTATCTCCGGTTGTACATAATCCTGAATTTTATATTCATTATTGGGAAATTAGTTAATTACCTAGGAAAATTGTCTATGGAAATTTTGTTTACATTGTATCAAAGATTATAAACATATCTCTTATCAGGCAGATAATTGTAATTTATAACACGTATTTAAATCTGAACAGTATCGTGCCTTTGGTAAGACGACTTTTTCCTTAGTTTGAGCTACTATAAATACACGTTTCATTTGTTAAAATTATAGTTTTCTACATTTGAATCAATTATTTATTTCAAACATTGACAAATATCAAATGAATTTCTTATTGTACACCTACAAAAGTCTTCAAACAATTTTACTTCCAATATAAGTATACCTACGCTAAACCTTTCATGAGCGTAGGATGATGCATATTTAAGATAAAACAGATTTTATTTAATTTATCGAATATTCGAATATATTCGAATACTTTCATTGAATATTCGAATATGAATTATTGACAAAATTGACATCCCTAATTTATATACATACAAGAAAATTTTGCTCAAGAGAGGAACAAAGCAAAAATTTCTTGCAAATATCACTGGTTCAATGTAGAGTAGGATTAAAAGCTTTTCTCTGTATGATGCATGGTTTTATTGAAATTATCCTAGCTTTTAGCTGTCAATATGAAAATTATGTAGCATGAAATTTAAACAACAAAAACTTACTGGAGATTTAAAATGCACTCCAAATACTTTGTTTGTGTTTTTGTTATTTTCAAATTCATTTTGAATTGTAGTTTTCTACCCTTTTTATTGACTTTGTTAGTGAAATTAATTTCTGAGTCACTTCTTTCAGTTTAAATAAATTTTATGCCATTCTGCCATTCCTTTTGTGAAAGCAACACAAAATTAGACTGCTGTATTATTACATGCAAATCTTATAATGAACTCACTAATAATAGTAACTGAATTTCTTATCTATTAACAAGCAGAAATAAAAAGATGTTAAAAATTAAATATATACAAGTATTTCATTACATATCATAGATATATCCTTGTACTACCTTTCATGGTCATAATATTAATAGGATTTTACATATATACAGAAGGAATCTGGATGATAAAGAAGCAATGTTTACATTGATATACATGTATTATAGACAGTTATAGATAAATAAGTCATCAACATGACCATCTCAATGTATAAGCGTGTAAGCTGATGTCATACTTGCCTATAATTGTAACACTTAATCTTTTATCTGGTAATCTGTAGACTTTGCCCTGGATCAGTATCATAATATTAGTAAAGGTTTGATTGATGAAAAATATCAACCTCAAGTTAAGGACAAAGTTTATCTCTTCTCAAATAAACAACACATGGGGCAAAGTTTTTAGATTTCTTTTCCAGCTACTGAGCATTGTGAGTTTCTTATGTTTTTCTAAACACATTGAAGGTACTTATGACTAGATGCCACTGCTTGATAATAATAAGACAAAGTCAATTAAGATTCCTTTGGAAACTACATTTCATTTAAATTATTTTTCATAGGTATGTTTTATATTAACTAATGTATTGTCTAGTAATAAATTCAATCATTAAAAATTAGGAAATTATATTTACCTAAAAAAAAATTAGACTAAAAATTAATTATATTCACAATATCTAACTTGCAATGTTCAACATTTTTTTTTTTGAGTAAAATTTAAGATGCTAACAAATTATAAATTTTTTCATATGAACATAACTGTGATAAGAAACCAAAAATGGAATATGAAAAAGAGGGTCTCCTCCATGAGATGTTTGTCAGGCAGGCTGAAAGTACACCTGACAAAATCGCCATTGTTGAAGCTGGTGGAAGACAAATTACTTTTCGAGATCTACATGGAGATTCTAACACCCTGGCCAAATCTTTAAGAGGAAAAGGTGTCAAGCATGACTCCTGTGTTGGAATATACCTCAACAAAAGCATTGAGTTTTCTATTACCTATATTGCTATTTTGAAAGCTGGTAAGTACACATCAAACCCAGCATTATAAGATTTGTGAAAACATTGTCAAATAACTGTCTACTTGTTTTTGTATTTATAGCAGTTCTTCAACTTTATTTTTGGTAGGTGGCGCCTATTTACCTCTGGATGTGTCCTACCCAGCTTCATTAATGGGTTCCGTTCTTAATGATGCTGAACCAGTGGCTGTTGTTACCTCCACTGATCTGGTCAGCCACATTGAAGGTACAGTTTTAGAGGATTTTAAAATTTAAACAAAATTTGTGCACTGCATGGATGTACTCCTTTCCAGGGGACAGAATTCAGTGATTCCAAGCAAATAAAGGATACGTTTCTTTTTCCCATCATATTTCAGGTGTGAAAAATGTCATTGTACTAGATGAAGGCTGGCAGAAGAGACAAGAAGAAGAAAATAAAAATAAGGAATTCCCAAATTTGGATTTGACTTTGGACAATCTTGCATATATTGTATACTCATCTGGAACTACTGGCCGTCCTAAAGGTAAGGATGCTGACATCGTATAGATTAATAAAAAAACACTATCCTTTACCTTCTCCAAACTTTAATGTAGTAAAATACCAGATGTTGAAAATTTTAATGTTACTTCTTTTCACATTAAATATTTTGTTCACCATAACATTCTTTGCATTTTGAGGAATTCATAAATACTACATGTATTATATTATATTGAATTTTTGTTTTTAAGCTGTTTTATTGTCCCATTTACTATTTTTATGATGCCCCACCTGAATAGGGCTGGGGCATATAGTGTATGTCATGACCAACTTCCCATCCTTCCAACTTTCCTTCTGTCTGTCCATCTCGCTTTGTGTTTAGCTCAGTTTCAAAGAAACTGTTCAAGATATGTTGAGAACTATTCAACTTTCATAATTTTCTAATCTTGACCTTCCCTATGTCCTTCAGTTCACTTTTCAAGATATTTTAATCAAACCCTTTACAAAGTTACATGTTGGTAAGAACAATCTCACTTCATCATAATTTTTTGACCTTGACCTTCTTCACTTTTGAAGATTTTTTAATCGAACCTTATATACTAAGATACATATTAGTGAGACCAATTCCACTGTGTCATTATTTTTTTACCTTGATCTTTCCAATGACCTTGACCTCATTATTACTTCATATTGCAGTTGCCTTAGTTCTGTATATGACATTATATAAAAAAAATCCTTCATTCTTTAATCTTATTCATTCTTTTTAGTTTTATCATATTTTTATTATTATCTGTGACAAAAGAAGGATGAAAATTTCTTTTCTAATTGCAATATAAATGTACTTTGGATGGGGCATTCATGTCCTATGGATATATTTATAGTTATAAAATTAATTTTTTAAACTTTAAAAATTCTTAAAAATTGACATTTAAAAGAAATCATGCATGTATTTGAAAATTAACCTCAATTTGATGACAGGTATCATGTGTCCACATAGAGGAGCTGTATTTTCCTATCATCACAGACATGTGACATTCCCATATGAAACAGAGGACAGAGAAGCGTCTAATATCTTCTTCACCTGGGAAATGTTACGACCCCTCCTGAAAGGTAACACAAGTCAAAATCTGCAGTTCTAAGTTGAAGAAGTTTTATATACCCTTGCAAACATTGATAGCAATTTAATATTTTCCTAGTAATTGTTTTTAAATACCCATGTGTGTTCATTTTGGCCAGCTACATCAGTTGTTTCTAGCATTAATAACATTTTTATTTGAAGAAGGACATGAAGTTGATTTATTTACCATCTCTTAACATTAAAATTCCAGTACACTGTTCACCAAAGCAACACTTTTGTATTCAAAATTGGTATAAATTAAGATATATAAATTTTGCAATGTATTAGCAATTTATGAGTAATTGGTACTTATTTATTCACCGAAAAATTGAGGATGGTGGCAAGTCATACTGACTGCAATTAAGATATAGAAAGACTTAATCCCATTTTTCTTGCCAGGAATTCCGATGTATATTATTCCAAACACAGTAATCTATGATCCACCCCTCTTGTGTCAGTTCATTAAGGATCATGCCATCACTCGGATGTTGTTCACCCCCTCTCTTCTGGAAGCCATTCTAAACTCACCAGGACTTCAACTCAAGGATATGTTCAAGTCATTCAAGTAACGCCTTCAAGAATTATGTGATTGAAATTGCATGACATTCTTTGTACATTTGTTCTAATATTAAGAAAAATTTGGATAAGAGTGTTTGAAAGAAATTCTTTCCAATAAACCATTACAATGTCTTTTATTTGGAGTACTTCTATCTTCAGTAACAAAATATGAGATATATAAAGTGTGTTTTCCTAATTTTTAGACAGATTTGGTTCTGTGGAGAAGTTGTCACCACTGCTTTGATGCAGAGATGTATCAGTTTGTTACCCTGGATCAGATTCATCAATCTCTACAGTATATCAGAGAGTCATGATGTCGCGTGTGAAGATCTATCACAGTATTTCAAAGAACATAAGGTATTTAGGGGAGCAGCTACTTCAAGGATCCATATGTGTTGTAAATGAGCAATTAATTGAAACAAGAATATCATGTTTTTCCTAACTTTGGTTTAAGGTACACAGCATGGCCATTTTATTTCCATCTTTCATAACAGGGTACCTTATTTCCCATTCTGTTTTGGGTATCATATAGCTCACACCTAAATAAACAAAAATTTTAAAGATCCTCTTATTAAACTTCAAACACAGATACCCTACTTATTGATAGAAAAAAATAACAATACCAAAATTATTTGATTTCATTTGTCTGGTTTATTTTGTGATGAACTTTTTGAAATTTATCAATGCAAAGATGACTTTTTAAAAAAGTTATCAATGCAAAAGATGTCTTTATGTACCTTAAGATACATAAATTCAATTACAAATGTATATCACAGGATGACTTGAAGACCCGAAAATTTTGTCCAGCGGGACGGGTCCTACCTGGTGTCAATATTGTCATCATGAATGAGGAGGGAAACCCCCAACCAGTGGGGTCATCTGGGGAGGTAAATTGAGGCCAGAAATTATAGAAATATTTGTTTTGATACCTTGGTAAGTCAAAGCAGTTTATTTTATTTATGCTTTATCAAACAAAGTTGCTTACAAAAAATTTTGTCTACTTAACCTTTGACCAAGTTAAAGTCAAGGTCAACTCTATCAGTCTCTATGCCAAGTCAAAGTTACATTTTAAGGTTAAAGGTCAAGTTTGCCTTCTTCACTGTCAGAGTTGTCGAACGTTGTCTATTAAGGACAAATTTTGTTGAAATCCTATTTTGTAATTCCAGATTTATGTTGGTGGACCCACTTTAGCCAGAGGTTACCTGAAAAGGCCTGAGATGACAGCCAGTAGATTTATCAAGAGACCAGAAGGGGTACCAGCATCCTGTGGGGACAGGCTTTATAAAACTGGGGACTGGGGCTACATGTTGTCTGATGGCAGACTGGAAATATGTGGCAGATGTGACTCAATGGTGAAAATCAGAGGATACTCAATAGAAGTACAGGTATACTGTTTTCAACAAAACATTTTGATGATGCTAATTTTCTAATCCAGAGAAGAAAGTAATGGTCATGAACATATTTATTTACTACTAAATCTTATTTCTATATTACTTTATAGGCTGTTGAAGCAGCCCTGATGGAGCTCCCTATGGTCAATGCTGCTGTGGTCCTTGTCAAGGGAGCAGAAGGGGAGGACAAATTTCTGGCGTCCTATATTGTACCTGAAGGTCAGACAACTAAGAAAGAGGTCCGGACTGCCCTCAAACAAAGACTTCCATTCTATATGATTCCTTCTTACCTAATTTTTCTGTCCAGGTATTAAAGAAACATCTTGTAGTTTTATAAAATGTTTTGATATTTGGGAGACTTGTTACACTTAATCAAACTAATATCTTATAAGTTGTTTTTTTTTCTTTTTTACAGTATTCCAATAGTTCGAGCCACAGGAAAATTAGACAAGAGTGCATTACCTCCCTTTGATAAGCTGCCAGAGGAAGACACTGATGGTGGAACGTTACCATCAACAGAGACGGAGAAGACTGTGGCAGCAATGTGGACAAAGGTTCTCAAGATCAGACATGTTGACACTGAAGAAAGCTTCTTTGATCTTGGAGGGTAAATTATTGAGAAAAAAAAATAGACATACTAATAGAAAATTATTTTTTTTTAAGTAGGGTACAGTCACACCCAAGTCCTCAGTCTCAAGTACATTTAATCTGGGAAAGCTTAAATAAATCTGGTTGACTCTCAATTTGCATAATCCTGATATTCGAACAGAATATAAGTACATGTGTACTGGACTTCTACAACTCAAAATACTATCATTGAACTAAAACGTAATGAAATTATATAAGATTATATGACTGTTTGATAGATCTAAAATGATCTTTGACTAATTACAGACACTCCCTCCTTGCCACAGAGCTACTGAATCACATCAGAGAAAAATATGACATCGACATCGCAGTGAAGGACTTGTTTTTATTCCCTACAATCTCTACTATCAGTAAACTTATTGATACAAAGTTAAACAAATCTGAAGACATTAAAGTTGTGCCTTCTCAGGATGTGAATCTTGTGAATGAAGTTCAAGTTCACAACCAAGTTAAAGTCAAGTAAGTTAAGATTGTCCCAATTATTTACAGTCAAGTTTAAGTTAAAGAGTTACAAAATTAGACAATTTCAAATTATTAAGCCAGTAATTTTGTTTGATGCACTTAAGTATATTATAATTTGGTTTTTTCTTCTTTTTCAAAAGATCAAATAGGTGTAATGTGACATATAGAAAATTATTAATGGTTTATGGAATAATTCTTATTTAAATAAATTCATTTTAAATTTTAAGCCTCAGAATTTCCAAATCAGTTTTGGACTCTACCATTCAATCTTTCAGTATAGATATGCAGTTAAGAGCCTTTTGGAGAATTTTTAATTTGGACAATAAAAAAAGATTTAGGAAAGCTCGAGTTCTCCTAACTGGTGCCACAGGGTTTCTGGGAGCCTTTCTTCTGAAGGAACTTCTACTGCAGACAAAGGTTTATATCCGCTTTTTTCACATTAGAAAGTAAGAATTTCTTGTATCAAATGTTTGTTCTATACTTTCTAAATTAAAACAGTCAAGCCCCCCCCCCCCCTTTTGTTATCTTTCCTTTTATTCTAAAATTAATTCTTGAGTGTTGGTCATTTTTGTGTATCTTATTTGCTTTTTAGCTCACCTTAGCCTAAGGCTCAAGTGAGCTTTTCTGATCGAAGGGTATCCTTTGTCCATCTGTCAAGCATCTGTCATCTGTAAACTTTTCACATTTTTGCATGACTTCTTCTCAAGAACCACAGGGCCAGTTTCAACCAAACTTACCACAAAGCATCCTTGGATAAAGGGGATTCAATTTTTTTTCAATTAAAGGGCCACACCCTCTTTCTAGGGGAGATAATTAAGAATTAGTGAAAATTTGATGACATCTTTTAAAAATCTTTTTCTCAAGAACCTATTGGCCAAAAAAGATGAAATCTATTTGAAAGCTTTATTACATAGTGTATTAAATTTAAGTTTGTACAATTCATGACTCAGGGCTAGGGTGGAGCCATAATAGATGATCAAAGGTTTACACAGGAATATAAAAGAAAAATCTTTAGAAATCTTCTCAAGATCAGCAAAGCCATGATTAGTCATATTTATATGGAATCTTCCTCAGGTAGTGTAGATTCAAGTTTGTTCAAATCATGACCCCATGGCAAAGGTGGGGCCACAACAGGCGATCAAAGTTTTACTTAGGAAAGTTAGGACTATGTAGGAAAAAATCTTCTGAAGAATATCAAAGCCAGTGATGATTCATTGATGAGTCTTATTTATACGAAACATTTTCAGATAGTGTAAACAAGTTTGTTCAAATCATCACCCCAGGGGCTAGGACAAGGCCACATTAGGCAATCAAAGCTTTACATAGGAATATGTAGGAAAAAAATATTAAAATATCTTCTTATCATGAACAGCAAAGCCATGATTAGTCTTATTTATATGGAAACATCCTCAGGTAGTGTAGATTCAAATTTATTCAAATCATGAACCCTGGGACTAGAGCAGGGCCACAATAGAAGATCGAAGATAGATGATTCCTATAAAGTTTTACATAGGAATAAATAGGAAAAATTATTTTAAAAATTCTAATGAAAAGTAAAGCAATGATAAGGCATATTCATATGCAAGCATCCTCAAGTAGGGTATTTTAGAATCAAGTTTGTTCAGATCAGGGCCATCAAGAATAGGTTGAGACTACAACAGGGAATTACATAATTACAACAGGGAGTACATAAAATGAAGTCTTCTCATCAGACCAACATCAGATCATGTTGTCATACTGATACTGAAGGATTCCATTGTTGTCTTAATTTAACTTTAAATAAATCATAACTCCTTTAGAGGTATTAACTATATAGGGGTAGATTTTGGTCTACAACATGGAGTCAAAATATTTATGACGTAAAAGAGGAAAATGTTAAGAAATCTACAGGGCCAAAGTGACTCAGGTGAGTGTTGTGGCCAATGGGCCTCTTCTTATTTTAAACTCTTGATCTTTGCAGAATAAAATTAAATAATTTTTCTTTTCTTTCTATGATCATTCTGTTCTTCTTTATACTAATATAAAGTAAAATAAATTGTATAATGAGATTGAAAACTAATTGTACCTTTATGTTTGATTTATAATTTTACCAATGATATTCAGTGTTCCATCACCTGTTTGGTTCGAGAGATGCCTGGTCAGTCAGGCCAGGAGAGGGTGGAGAATACCCTCACACAGTACGGAATACTGGCCTCCACAGCTACCCCCACTGAGGAGCAGGCAGGGCTAGCCAAGCTGTTCCAGAGTAACGTTCACATTGTTCAAGGTAGGAGATTTCCCTAGAATTGATTAAAAGTTGGTTCTTGTAGAATAATCCTCCAAGTAAACTGAAAAAATATTTGTCAGGCAATTTTTACTGCTGAAATTAAAAAGCAGGATGACAAATACTTTCTGTGTAGGTAAGGTAGAGTGTGTGGCTACTATTGAATGAGTCTGTAAACTAAATTTAACAGGAGAGGTAGCCCTGGTCAATCTGGGTATGAATGATGATGACTATAACTATATGTGTACAGACACAGACTTCATCATCCATGCAGCTGCTGCAGTAAACCTAGTGTATCCTTACGGTGTAAGTAACTGTACATCCACTCCTTTTAGATCCACATGTAAAAAAAATATTGAATCTTCATAACCTTACTTTTGTGCAAAAAAAAAATTTCATGGCATAGAAAAAAGTTATAATGAGGCATTATATACCTTCTGGGTTAATTATGGAATTCATTGTGATTTAAAAAAAAAATACAGATCTTCGTTATTAATTTTTTATGGATGTAAAAATGTTGAACCCACTACTAGAAAGTTTTAAATTCCTAGTGATGGATTCAAGGGGAGTATGAATAGAATTTGTCAGTTGTTACTCTTGTCTGGGAATCTAAATACTGAATCTGGTCAGTTTTTTAGGCTCTACATGGAGCTAATGTGAGAGGCACAGCCAATGTCATTCAGTTTGCTTGCACTGGGAAAATTAAACCCATCCATTACATTAGGTATCATGTATGATTAAAATGTTGATTTTTATGAAGTAGATGTTAGATATCTCAAACTATAATTAAATACAGGACTTAATGAATTGAATGTTTCAGTAGTACATGTATATATTTAATCCATTAAAATGATTTTTGCCACAAAACTTGTCTCCCTTTACAGTACAGATGCTGTGTTTCCCAATGGAATGAAAAATTGTGAAGAGGAAGCTGATATATCAGACCTCAGTGACCAACTGACTGATGGCTACTCACAGTCTAAGTGGGTGGCAGAACAGATTGTTACTGGTGCCAGAAAAAGGGGGATTCCTGCTGCCATTTATAGACTAGGTATTCACTTAATCCAAGTGGTTAAACAGATAGTTTGGTTTAACTTGTATAATATCAGAGCACTATAAATTTCATCATATGATCGTTTTTATGTTATTTTGGTATGAGAATGATTTTTTTTAGATATTTTTTTTAGACAAAGAGTGACTATATGATTTCCTTTTTAGGTAACATGAGCGGAGACAGACAAGGTGCCCATTGGAATCCACAGGACTTTACCCTGATGATCCTACAGGCCTGTGTAGGATTAGGAGTTGCTCCTATTGTGGACTGGGAAATGGAGATGACTCCAGTAGATTTTGCTGCAGAGTTTATTGTCAGAATGACTTACAACCTGTCACTTTCTCTTGGAAAAACATTCCATGTTATCAACAACAAGCCACTGCAGTCAAGGTATTAAGCTTAAGGTATCATAAAATCTTGTCTTCATATTTCAGATATCTGCTGTATGAAAATCCCACACGAAACTGTTTTTTTTCTCTTTTGATCTCTTGTGCAAGTGTTCAAACTTTTTAATTTAAGGTGGGTCTTTGAATGGATGAATGCACATGGTTATCCTATCCAGCTCATCAAGTTTGAAGACTGGAAAGATAGGTACATGTTTCAGACATTAAATTTCCATGCATACAATTTGTTACAAAGCATTATTATATTCTAAATTTATATCCATCATTCTGTATATTTCAGAATGTTACATGAAAATGGGAACACATCGAAAATCAGTAAGAATTTGCAGAGAATAGTAGAATCTTATGCAAGGTAAGAATGAAAATTTAAGAATAAATAGGTGGACAGGGTGGAAGGTTATGAAAAAAAAACCCATAAGACAAGATGAGCTGAGTCCCAGTTTTTAATTATTTCATTAAAAAAGGCCTTAATTTAGGATTAAACCATTTGAAGCTTATTGCACATCTCAATGAATGTCTTAGCTGTGTTAAGTAATTACTTATAAAAGAATTTCTGTACTGGTATGTAATTTATCTATACTCCAAGCCTTTATATGTTTACTGTAAAAGTTTTAGACTCAGAACAGGTTGTTCTGTTCAATCTTACATTCACCCATGTGTAATTTGTATATACATGTACTTTTTGTCTTGATGCAGTAATTCAGACTTTTTCTCAAGACTGAGCACCTACAAAACAGAGAACTTTGACCAGGCTCTGAAATCCTTAGATCTGGCGTATCCTTACACAGACAATAACTTGCTTAGTCATTACTTCCAACAGCTGACAAGGAGAAAGATTATTACACCATTAGTTTCCAAAACTGCAATGAGAGGTACATGTTGTAAATATTTTTATAACCACCCATTTAACAAATGAAAATGATTAGCAGCTTATTTTTTTTTATGTGTGTTTCACTATATATAATTAATATCTTTGATATAGTACCTCAGATCAAAAAGAAATATTTATAAATTTTACTTAATTAAAACTATATTCATAATTTTTATTGCTAAATTGTTAGCTTCAGAGGCAATAAACAGAGAAAACAAAAAATAGCATAATATATTAAAAGTTGAATTTTCATCATTCTTTTCTCTCGAGCTCTTTTGTTTTTCTTTTTTGTGTGTTTGAAAAGAGGAATTAAACATTTTAACAGAAATATTGAACTGGAATGTGATTCATTTTTTTAATTTAAATAAAATTTATGTTATTTTCATAAACAAGACAATAATTATATTTTAACACACACACATTTTGACAGAGCATGAGGGGATAACTCCTAGCATACTAAGGGGTAGATTACTCTAAATGTTAAAGGAGATAACTCTAAATTTATTTACAGCAAAATGAGCAGTGCACGTGTCACAGGTAAACATTGTGCAGTAAGAGTGTAGCATGAGTAGAGATTGCAGATAAAGAATGTTAGGCTAAGCTATTTAAACATGATTTATATGATTTTTTTTAATGACACACCATGGCCAATGTAGATTATCAGATAATGTTTAACAGTTTGTCAAAGGCTTACAATAATTTAGAGCATTTTATACGAGATTTATAAAAGTATAATATACTGTATATGACTTAAAGCCAACTGAATAACTTATTGGATGTCTTTAGTGTCATTAATATTACACATTTTTACAATCTAAGAACTAGTGCTTGTTTGTACAAGAGCTAAATAGGCTTGAAATATGTTAAAATGATGATATATGTAAACTCTCCTGTATCAGAGAGGGCCGATGATATATACACGACCGTCGTGTACATAGTAAAGAAAGTCTATTTACACGACCGTCGTGCAAATAGCTATTGCATATTGCTGAGATATATACACGACCGTCGTGCACATTTGTAAGAAAAAAAATCTATTTACACGACCGTCGTGCAAATAGCAATCGCACATTTCCAGAGATATATACACGACCGTATACACGACCGTCGTGTGATCGAAACACTTCACACCGCACATACGTCCCTGAAGAAACGATGTTGTTTAGGCTACACAATCACTGTAGTTATATTTTTTCAACATTTGTAAAATACTGTTATTAGATGAATAAATGAATGTTTGCAATTATGAATGGACATTTTACTTTTATTTTTTTTTTTTGCCAGCGCTCTCGAGCGCTAGCAACTACGTTAGTCTATATTTCTGGAATACGCATGCTCGGCTTCACGGTCAGGCATTCTGGGAAAACTACTGAAGATAGACTGTACGATGATAATTTCGTTTTATCATAAAAAATTAATATGGTCCGAATTCTGAATTTGTTAATTTATTGTCTAACCTATGATTAAAAGTACAAGAAAATTTGGGTCATATAATGCCAAGATTGTAGAGATCAACTGGTAAAACCTAGCTTTCCTTAAAGCTAACCATGTATACTACCTTCCTAGATAATTCCGGCAAGCTCAGAAACAAACCCAGGAAATCTTTCAGAGTATGTCGGAAAGACACGAGAAGCGATTGATACAATGCAGTAGCACTGATATAATTATAATTCTTTAATTTCTCATTTTTCCTTTTTTGACGGAAAAGCCCGAGTAATGATCCGATTGTTATTGCTGGCGCTCTTGAGCTAGCAATAACTCGAGATGTGTGCTCGACTTCATGGTAGGGCATTCTGGGAATACTACTTGTAGATAAATTGTCAATTTCGTTTTTTAATCTCAAAATACATATGATCTGAAGTTTCGCGTTTTGTTGTCTAATCTTAAATAAACGTTCAAAAGGTAACAGTAAATGCCAAAATTGTACAGATCAATTATAATTTCTAAAATTATAATTTAAAAAAATAGCTATTTTTAACTATCTTCCTGGATCTTTCCGGCAAGCTCGGAATAACAACCTCGGATATGTTTTCCGAGCTTGCCGGGAAAGGCCCGAAAGGATGCGATTGCTACAAAACAGCACCACACTGGACTGTTTTTAAACTAGCTGTTCATTGGTTCTACTTATCTCTTATTTTTCACTTCAAAATTGAAATTACAGTAAACTACAGAATGCTTTTTTATAAATAGTCTGATGAATATTCTGTATTAAACACCGAATAGCTGATACATTCACCATTCTGAATTAAGACACATCCCCCCAACGCTACCTCCAGTGTACCACTATGTTTTCCTATTAATAATTAGGGACGACCATTTGATTCTGAAGGGGGGGGGGCTGAAAGATTTTGGAAATAAATAATCTGTCCTCAAAAAAGTTGGAAATAAATAACTGTCTTTCCACGACCGGCAAGAAAATAAATAATCTGTCATTGACTATTACTACTTAACCCCCCCCCCCCCGGTCCCTCTTTGAACTTTTTTTTTTTGGTCAAACTTTTTCGATTAAGAAGAAAATAAATAATCTATCCTTGATCATCTTGAAATTAAATAATCTGTCCTTGACTGGCATGAAAATAAATAATCTGACTCGAAAGATTTTGCCCCCCCCCTCCTCAGAATCAAATGATCGTCCCCTTAATCGATTCAGCAAATAAATCCAATAATTCAGATATCTAATTCTGTGGTTTATGATAGCTACAGCGCTAGCTCACCTATCTTTTAAAAAGATAAGCTTGTAAACACATTAAATTAGGAAGAATTAGTAAAAATAAAAACTAATCGATAATTTAAAAGTGACCCGATCCCGATCAGATAATGTTTGAGCTGACAGTGTAGATCTATGAGTCTATCTCTTGTTTTATGTGCACGTTTAGTCGTTTTTGAAAAAATTAAATGGAATTGACACTTTTTTAAAAATAGAAATGCAAGCAATTGATTGTTTCACATACTACTAATTGTTATGTTGATATATTTAATTACTTCAACTTTTTTTCAATTTTATCTCATCTATACTTATAAATTAATAATTTTTGCAAATAAACTCCGAAGGGTGCACCAGAGTTCTTACTTACTCCTCTAAGAATACACACGATACAAAATGATGTCCGTAAACTATATCTAGATTTCACTTGCATTGTAAGTATCGTACATTAAATTAAAAGTCTACTTTTATTTTCTATAAACAGCCATGAAATAGCAAAAACGTGAGTACGGTGGCGTTTCCGGTTGGCGGATCAAAGTTACTGGCAATTTTTAATGAAACTGACAATAAGCAATCGTTTATTTATTTCATTAAACGTCATTACTGAATTATTCAATCAAAACTTGATTTAAATGATATAAAAGAAATAAGTTGTGATAACCTATTAAAAAGGGAAATGTGCAAATTATTTTCGTCATTCACCGATCGTAATATTGACGGAAGCTTCTAGAACATCATATAGCATCGAGCCCGATGGTAAAAAAAAAAAAATAGCTTTTGTGTGAATGGTCATTGAAATAATAGTAAATCATTGATAACACTGTAGGTTGTGAATATATTTATATATCGAAAGACTATTACATATATGTAGTAGGTTTTCCTAATAAATTTATCGGTAAAATTTGAATAGATTCCTCACTGAGAGCATCGTGGCAACGAACCCGAAGTACAATTTGTACTTCGTAATAAACTTGCTTACATGAAAAGAGAATATCAATGAATAAGGCATTATTCAAATACAATTATGTTGTATAATTTTGTGCTTTAATTAATACATTTCAGTTTTTTTCTCAATACAGTCTTTTGTATCAAATACTCGGCCTATTCCAGTGGTGGATCCAGGAATCTTGAAAAAAAGGGGGGGGGGGCAACCAGTTTGGGGTTGGGGTAGGGGCCCACGGACACACCAAAAAATGATTTATTAAATTTTATGTATATTTTGGACACAAAACGGGAGAGGGGTTGAGCCCCCCTCTTACATCGCCAGCGTATCCATAGGGCGTTAAATAAAAGCTTATTTTTACACAGGTACTTTTAGGTCTTGGATTATAAATATGTATACATGTACCTTATTGATATGTAAAAAAAAAAAAGAGGTAAGGTACAGTTTTTACATATCAATAAGGTACATACATATTTATAAACCAAAATTCAAGTACCTGTGAATTTTTACCAAAAAAAAATCTATTTCTCGGTAAAATGTGCATATTCACTGCTTTTATTCGTGACGGAAATGAAATAAGAGCATTTGAAGTACAATATCCATAACATAGTACATTGTTTATAACAGGTTTCACAATAAATGTCAATTAATGATATTGTTATTCAAGTTTTACAGGGGAGGGGTTGGGGGGTTGGGGGGTTGGAGACGTACTTCTACTTCATGCTATAAGCCTGTAGGCTATCAGTAGAAACTACAATATATATATTATTAGATTTTTTCTATCGGTAGTGGTATAAATTCATATCCCCGCGCTTGCGCGGGATTTCATCTAGTGTTAAATAAAAAGAAAAATTATAAAACATATGAGGAAAAGACACCTGTGTAAGATCTACACTCCAACTTCAGATTAAAAAAAAAAAAGCTTTCGTAGGCACTCCCTCCCCTATCTGGATCTTAAAATACATAAGTTCAGAAACAGGTTGGGACATAGATACCATATTGCATTAGTTTTAGTCTGAATGGACTGGGATACATGAATGTGCCCCCTTTATGGTTCTCTCTCATTTCTTTCAGTCTTTCTATTTCTAATTTCTACCTACTTGAAGACTACTTCATTTACATATTTCTATTTGAAAATGATTAAAATATTATGATCCCACAGCCATTTCTTTTCACACCCCTCTCTCTTTACGATACAGCTTCTTTTGTGGAGAATTGATTATATATTTTACATATAAATTGAGACATCAAAATACACGAGGACGCACGAGGATAGGTATACTACTAGGCATATAAGCTATTCATGTGTGAAAAAGAATACAACTGAATCGTAATATAATTTCTGTCAGTTTCATAAAAATGCAGTGGAACAGTTTATTAGCCATAACAAAGAAAACAATTCTTTAAAAAAAAAAAATAAAGATTAGAAACGAAAAAAAATAGGAAAGGGGGGGGGGGGGTGATCACTCAACATCCGCTTTAAACGAGAACTATTAACATATAAATATCATTATTGTTTAATTTGAGATAACATTTGTATAAACATGATAAACTAAGGTTGTATGACAAAATTTTGGTTAAAAAGTTTATTTAAGAAATCAATACTAGAGTAGGCAAAAATGCCTATCAAATGTGCTATGGCTCTCTTTAATATTGGTGAATATGGGTTGAGGTGGATGGGGTAAACCACATGCTCACCAAAATAGTAAGTAAGTAAATATTTTATTATAATGACATGTGTATATGCACAAATACAATAGTAGTTATAATAGAAACAGATTTACATTACACCCCGACCCATTGGACCTATATTTCACTTTAGCATATATAACATCTTTTCATTTTCAAAAGAGAGGGCACATGCATTACTATTAGATTTGTACAAATATTTTTGTCTTACTGAAAAGATTAAATTTAAAAATTTGGATTTGTCTTTGATTATTTTTCATTTAAGTGTTTAAATTATATAAAGCGTATTAGTGCCACGTAATACTTTTTTTTAAAGTTGGAATTTCCAACTTTATTCTTGGCTTTTCCAACTTAAAAGTTGGTTTTTCCAATTTTAAAGTTGGAAGTTCCAACTTTAATCTTAACTTTTCCAACTATAAAGTTGGAAATTCCAATGTTAAAGTTGGAAAAACCAACTTTTTTTGGGCTTCATGCGATTTAATCGTATATTTTGTAGTTAATTGGACTCGTGTTGTAATAATATAACAATGAAAGTAAACAATTTATTATATAATTATGATGAAAGAAGGATTAATTTTCTTTGTGTTTTCATATACAGAATAATAAATAATAAAAGAAAATGATAGAAAAGCTCAAATGAAAGTAGGAAAAGCCAACTTTAAAGTTGGAAAAGCCAACTTTAAAGTTGGAATTACCAACTTTAAAAAAATATATATATTATGTGTCACTAATACGCTTCCGTAATATTACCAACTAGATCTACATTTCTATTTAAATTAATATTATAAAAGAAAGTTTTTTCTGATGTTTTCTTACCATCTCGTCCCTCCCACACACCCCAAAATGCTTCGAAGGTTAAAGGCACTGAGTGTCGAACCTAACTGGGGACGAAAGAACGAATGACATAAGCGATGTTATGTAAATACGATACAAGACGGTCGTGCAAATAGTCATTGAAAAATTATATACACGACGGTCGTGCGAATAGCCGATGAAAAATTATATACACGACGGTCGTGCGAATAGCCGATGAAAAATTATATACACGACGGTCGTGCGAATAGCCGACGAAGAAGTAAGTGCACGACGGTCGTGTATATAGACACTGCCTAATCAGAGAGATCAATAAAGAAGGAGTTTTCATTAATGTAAATAATGATGTGTAAAATTATATTGGACATGTTATTCATTCCTATGAAAATGTTTCTTACATTTAAAGTCCACATAGTACATGTAAATAATATAAATCATGAAAAATCAGATCTTTGCTACACTCTGAAATTTTGATAGTAATAAGCTGTATTAAGGGACTATCAGAATTTTAGAGTGTAACAAATTAAAGATCTAATTTTAATTGGATTGGTTATACATGTACATAAGCCATAAGTATCATCAAAATTTTATATTGAATTCTCAGAGATAGAAAACAGCATGTATATACATTTCAATGATTGTAAACATGTTAAATATTTACAAATTTTAACTGATTGAGAGAGAATATTTTTATTTACATATACCCACTAAAAATGATTTAATTTAATTTTAGGTAAGAGACTGAGTGGTAAAATTGCTATAGTAACTGGAGCCTCCAGTGGTATAGGAGAAGCCATTGCCAAGGGCTTGGCCTCGGAGGGGGCTAAGGTTGCCATAGCAGCACGGAGGATTGATCGGCTAGAAAAACTCCAGAAACAAATTGAAGAAGAAGGAGGGATAGCAGTCTGTATTAAAACAGATGTCATTGTGAGAGATGAGGTAAGTATTAAGTTGGCTTTAGATTCTTTGTTATGTTAAATTTAACATTTCATTGCCATTCCTCTTCCTCTGCCTTGTTCAAAAAGATATTATCTACTGTTTTATATTGAATATTAATAATACCTTTTTTCTTATCAGGCCCAGTTTCAACTCAATCACATAGAGTATATTTATGTATGTCTGGGCTTGCTTATGATTAAGATGTTAGCCATTTTGTACAGTATATTCAATACTATATATATACTCTAACATTTTTCACTTAAGGTAAAAGAACTAGTCAGACACACAGAATCTGTCCTGGGACCAGTGGACATTTTGGTCAACAATGCTGGTGTCATGTACTATACCATGATGAAGAACCTGAATGAAGATCAGTGGGAAAGACAGATTGATATCAACTGTAAGGTGTGCCACCTTAATTTATATCTATTTGAAAGTCTTATAATTTATTCATAAAGTTTACCGGTAATACGTATTTATAATGATTAATTTATTATGTTTTTGCTATGATTAATTTTATTATGTGTATGAACTTCTGTAGTCTCATGTGTTGATATGAATGTGAAATTTTTAATCAACAGAGATCTGACATTTGGTCACATGACTTTTGAATTTTCTGTCCATTGCAGGGATTAACAAATTGTATTGGTGGTGTGTTGGATGGAATGTTAAAAAGGAAATCTGGTCATATAATCAACCTTTCCTCTGATGCAGGGAGAAAGGTATGTAATTTTATCAAAAAATGAACAACAGAACAAAAATAATTTCCAAAATGTACAAATGAGAATCAAACAAATAACTGTGCCTTTCAAATGGAGTGTGATGAATTTAACGTGTGAAAGTCACGTTCTACATCTACATGAGAAGAAGAAAACACTTGTTGTGGCCTTCAACTCGACATTTCAATATATCGACGACATATTATCAATTAACAATAGTTACTTTCATTCACATGTGGACTCCATATATCCCAGTGAGCTTGAAATTACAGATACCACAGATTCTGACACATCTGTTTCATTTTCAGATATTCTACTAGAAAAAGACGTTAATGGTAATCTAACAACAAATCTTTATGATAAACGTGATAACTTCAACTTTTCAATCGTCAACTTCCCTTACTTATGTTAGCAATATACCCTTATCACCTGCATATGGGGTTTATGTCTCTCAGTTGATTCGATTCGCAAGAGCATGCTATACGTCAATCTAATTAAAATTAGATGTTCCGAATCCACTACCCCTACACAAACATCTAACAACATCCCATTCGGGGTCACGTCAGAGCGACCTTTCGATTATGAATAAACATAAAAATTTTGGCCAATCAGATTCAACCCTCTGTATACGATTCTAAAATTAGTTCCACGGCTACATCTTAACATTATTGATGCTCAGTGGACTGTCTTACGTTGAATTAAAGTAATTTTGGTATAAATTGAACGTATAGTCTGCCAATCTGGTATTCTTACCTAAATACTGCAAACAAAAATGCACAAACTACATGTATACGTCTATATATCCCGCACGTCACATTCATATTTAGCACGGTCTTTACCATGCATATTTTGTTTACTACGAAACCCCTCGGGCGCTTAGGTTTGGCAGTAAAAAAAGAAACACATCTGAACTATAAGCCAAGATTTCAGAGATGGCGATTTCATTGGGTAATTGAAAGGTCGCTCTGACGTGACCCCGAATGGGATGTTGTTAGATGTTTGAGAAGCGGTAGCGGATTCGGAACATCTAATTTTAATTAGATTGGCTCTACGTATGAACAATTTCTAAAATGAGGCAAGCTATTGACAAACAAGTTGATGAAACAAGGATATCAAGAGTCTCATTTGAAGTCATCTTTTCGCAAGTTTTTCGGTTGATACAATGACCTTGTCAGCACATACAACCTGTCATTGAGTCAAATACTGACTGATGTTTTTTCATACCGATTGTTAGGCCATTATTTATATACTGAACTGTCTAAGATATTTCCGGTTTTTGTTTCCCGATCATGACAAGGAGCACACGGCGGGTGTGACCAGTCGGCAGGGGATGCTCACTCCTCCATGGCACCTGATCCCACCTCTAAATTTTGAGGTCCGTGTTTGCTCTGCTCCAAATTTGTATCATTTCATTGGACTTTCGAGATTGAATACTGTTCGTTATCTATATATTTCATTGACCTGTTTTCCAGGTTGCATGTCTTGCTGCCCATGCAGTGCACTTAATCATTGTAGCATGACAATTTTTGCAGGGATTTCCAGGATTGGCTGTGTACTCAGGAACTAAATTTTATGTAGAAGGTCTGTCACAGGCACTTAGACAGGAAGTGTGTGGGAGTGGAATCAGAGTCACGTGTATACAACCCGGGGACGTTAAAACAGAACTCTTAGTTCATACAACTGACACTGAGGTAAGGCCACTTTTATACAGTAAGGGAGAATTGAAATACTTTAACTGTAGAATTTAAGTTGCCTTTGTGGCAGTCAGAGTTTTGGCCAGATTGCTCAGTTGGTAGAGCACCTGTTAGAGTTAAGGGGACCTGGTTTGAATCCTGATCTAGTCCATCACAACATCTCCCTCCCTTTTACATTTGTTGCTGTTGACCACCTCAGCATTTGAAGTTGAAAGACCTGCCACCAGGAACAAAAGAATCTGGGCTGGTATATTTTGGGGCAAAGATATTTAAGGTGGAAGAAATATGGAAGTCAGACCGGTTTGTATGTTGGTGACTAGATAGTCCAGTTGGTTAAGCACCTGTCTAGAGTTCTAGAGTTCAGGGGGCTCTGGTTTGAATCCTAGTCTTGCCTGTTACATTTTCCCCCTTCCTGTTACACCTGATTAAAGATTAATCTGTTTACAACATGGGCATGATAAAACTGAACTCTTAGTTCATACAAATGACATAGAGGTAAGGCCCAAACAAGGGAAAACTGAAATGGCATTTTGAGAACTCTGGCTTCAGCACTCTAGTTAAAATCCTGGGCTACATGCATTTATTAAATGCAGTATAAAAAGTAGGAAGCTCCAAAAAATACCTATATTTTAAAACAATTCAAATTCTGTGGTCTGCTCAGGGCAAAAAACTTTATTCTGGATTTTGCCTCATTTGTAAATACATGCAAGTTTTTTGTGCAGGCTATAATAATTACATATATGTATATATTGTTTTGAAAGCACAGAAATGAAGTGGTAAGAGAAGCTTAGATTCTTGTTTTTTCTTTAATGGCCAAAAAAACATTTCAATTTTTACTGTCTTTTTTTAGTTTAGGTGTGCAATGCATTATATAGCATATTCTTTTTGAAGGCATGTATCAATTAAGTTAATTACATGTATACTGAATAATTATTAAACCCAACTGTGATGTTTTTCTGGGAACAACATTTATAAAATGAAGTTTGTAATTCAGGCAAAAGAAGCATATGATGGAAGCAGTAATTGTAAGATCCTGGAGCCCTCTGACATTGCCAATGCTGTGATTTATGCTACTACTCAACCAGAGTACGTAGGAGTGAACGAGATTCTGATAGAACCAAGAGAAGCACCAGCCTAGAAGATCAGTCTCTTGGCACATAGCTTATACAATAGTCTTTCAAGTTAATGAACTGTGAAAACCAAGTTGACTTATAAAAAACTTAGTCTAAAATGCAATATTGTTTACTGTTATATAATAAATTTCACTCAATGTTAACATTTCTGTATATGTTATATTCCTTGATATTAAACTTGACCAAAACATGTCTTTTCTACATGAATACCAAAATGAATTAAAACTCAGAATCAACAGCATTCTTTCCACTTGTATAAATAAATATTTGCTTTTAATTCCAACTAGAGGTACTGTGAGTGAGTTCACAAAATAATACCCTCAATGCTAGCTTTAAAGTGCCTATTTGCAATTGACCTTGAACTTGCCAAAATGACCTCTGTTAAAAAAAAGACACATTCTCTGGTCATACCCGGTAAGTAATCTTTGAGTGAAATATGCTTCTCCATTAGAAATTTATAAACCTGTCAAGAATTTTAAAAAATTTTTGCCAGTGATCTTGAACTTATTACAATGTCCTTGGGTCAAGGTTAAGACACACCCTCATGTCATAAACAATCGTTGTATCAAGTATGAGCTTCCAATGATTCTCCATTACAAAGTTAAAAGCCCAGACAAGATTGCATGAATAGATAGACCAGGTGATTCCTATATACATGTACCCCCCAAACTTCATTTGCAGGGGATATAAAGATGTTTTTGACCCTTTATAACTAATTAACAGAAAGAGTAATATATGTACTCGTATTGATATACAATGAGATTTGCACCCCAAAGTTGACCTACCGTAAATATTTGCTAATAAGTTAAATTATGTGAGCAAATAAAAAACATTGATTCAAAATCAAATTTTTCTCCTTATGCAAATTGAATAAGACAATGTTAATTTACTCTGGCATGTAAGCAATCGTATATACATGCATATATATTGCTAATAGTGTTCATTTTTTACCATTAAATTGTATATTCACTCAAGTCTTTCTGTCAATTCCTCTCTTCAAGATTATACCAAAGTACTGGTACATAGATATGTATACCTCTCACTCAGAGACAAGAGCTTATGCATTGGTAAAGTGGTTTTGACATAGTGCACAACCCAAAAGATGTACATTATTATTGACTGTTGTATTATGTTCTTTGCATATAAGGGTGACTGGGTCATCTTCATTCTGAATTGATTGGCTGTCATTGTTTTGATGTTTGCACAATGACTAGATAGACTGTAACATCAGTCTTCCTCTCTTAAGTATACACTGCCAAGTCACAGCTAACAAATACTAAAGCACCATTTTTACACAAAATAAATGCTTTGGAAGTATCAAAGGAAGCATCAAACTGGCTTCTACCTTGACTTAGATCTTACTTCTCTGGAGATCTCTACATCAAGACACGCATTAAGCAGAATATGGACATCTTAGCATTGTGTCAAAACTTAAAATATATTTGACCTTAAAATTATTATCATCCTTTTCCTACCTAAAACATGAAAAGCAACAAATTCATTTCAGATGAAATCAACTTTATTAACAATGGTAAGTTTTTCAACAAAATTTTGGCTACTTTGCTGGCAAGCAATGACTTCTTCTTAATGTATTGCTGTTAAATGTTATCATATGAATAACGCAGAGGCTATGAATGAAGTAGCCATGATATGTACATGGTAAGCTTCCAATTACATAATACTGGGTTACTAGTCTAAATCTATTATCTACATCTAAATGTACACAAACAGGACTAGAGGGGTACAAAACCTAAACTAATTAACAAAGTAAATAAAGCAAAGAAAGTAGCATCAGCACCTAATTGTTGTCATTTTTTTTCTATTCAACTAATTATGCTCAGTAGAAAGGTATAATAACTATTTGTCACTTAGATAGAAATTGAAAACAAAGTACAAACACTGATAGGATATACAAAGCATAGAATGTTCTGTCTGTAAAGGAAAAACTTTCTGTTTCACCTTATATACACAACTGTACAAGTACGGTAAAATGCAAAAAATAAAAACACTGATCAACCACACAAGGAGTTCACTCAGCTATCTGAGAAATGCTTTATCAAATGATACATTTGAGTGTGTCCATTACTACCGGTATTCAGGATATGTTTTATACATGTGCAAACTTTAAAAAAAAATTACAAAAAATGATCAAAATGCAAAATGAAGAAACTGTTTATCATACCAATACAAGGCGACTCAAAGTACGTCTACTTTTCATTTGAGCATATTTTACAGTTGAGAACTCCCCTCCCCACCACCCAAAGGTTCTAAATAAACTGCTACAATAAGCAATTTTTTTTTCATCACATATATTTAACAATAAACTGTCCAGAATCTTTTTGGGTATAAAATATACACAAAATTAATATACCACATTTGACCAACTGTTGGCAAGGTGATATATATATACTTATCAGAACAAGAGTTTGGGCATAGATATTTGTTCCTACTTGTCTATTATTGTGAAAGATACAAACTTTGTACATACACAATGTATCAATCATTTGTTCATTTTTCATTCATCAATGATTATTTTTTTTTAATTGCTCTAGTCTACTGCAATGTGTATATGTTTGACCAATAAACCTTTTCCTGCAATTACTCTGAAAGTGAGAAACTTTTTTAAAATGTGCATTTTTTTTAAAAAACTTTCTGAAATGTCCATTAATCCTATGTTTATATATACAGGAGTTTTTGTTTCTCTAAAACATTCTTCTTTGTTTACCACTACATATCTTTTATCATGAGAGACAGGGTAACAATTTTAATTTGAAATGCTTCTCCCTGGATGAAGGAAGCGCTAATTATTTATAACTACTGGCATTCTGCATTTCAAATTTAAACAAAGCCATTTTTTGCTTTTTGCTATCAAATGAAAACCTTCTTTTTCTATATTAAATGTTAAGTTGTACCCGGTAATCATTTGTTTCAGAGAAATTGAATGTCAAAATTACTTTCCCCCATTTTGTTTTTTTTGTTTTTTTAAATTTGAGGTTTGTAGTTTTGTCTTTTAACAAAAAATTGAATTAGTAGAAATCAAATACTTATGCTTTCATTAGCAATATAAAAGTAATAAGGCTATAGTAACAATATACCTCATTAAATGTCATACAGAATGTTGCTAAAATTGTTCTTAAAATTACATTCAGGAGATGAGAGTCGACAGGGAAGGAAATAACTTTTTTCCAAGAAATGTTTATGAACCAATATTTTATTACAATTGCATCACTTTTATGATTGGACAAAATCCTGTATTATTAAGACAATCAAACCTTACCAATCTTCCTGGAAATACCAAAAGAATTGATTTTTTTTTAAATCTTTTTTTAAAATACCTAATTATTCATTACATAGGATTACTGGTACATTTTTGGGGGTGGAAGGGGGAAATCCAAGTAGAGCAGTTCTTCCATTATGACCATAAAATGTTTGATTTGCAACAGTACATGAGGGGTGGAGAGTCCATATGGGAGCAATACCTTAAACAACAAACTGTTCATTGAGCCCCCCTCCCCTTTCTTCAGGAAGTGTATTATTTATCTAAAACTCATAATGCTGTTAAAAAACAAAAAAGAAACAAACTCCTGGATGTATGCATATCTAAAATTTTGACTTGGTTGCATGAACATCTTTGAAAAATGCCCTGTTGTAATTAAAGAAACAAAGAGTCTGTAATTATGTTAACAAAAAAACAAAATGGTCTCAACATTGCTCACAATGAATGTTTTTAGAACATGGTAATTTAAAGCATGCAACAATAAGATTTTCATGGAATGTAAGTCCAAATCCTTAATATGGTTTGTATTCAGGAATTCATGAAATGGAAACTCACTTGACGCCACTCAAGAAGGCACATATTGGCAGAAACAATAGCACTATCCCAAAAATCTCTGAAACCTGCAAAAGATGAAGACATTAGGATTGTCAAAAATTTTTAAATCACTGTCAGGCATTTGGTCTTATATAGGAAAGGAGGAGGGGGTGTACAATTTTTGGGATTCATTTAGTGTGAGGCTTTGTACCTACCTCAACAAAAAGGCGGCACTTTTCAATGAAAAATACCCAAATGATTACTCCCAGGAAAAAAGTGGAGGGGAAGCCCCCCCCCCCCCCTTTACTACAAGGTCTGACAAGGCACTTGATATTCATTTTCACAGAAAATTCTTATTAATACAATTCTTAAGAAACTATTATACACAGCCCTAAATAAGAAAAACATAGAAAAAATTCTAGGGTGTTCCAGTACCTACTTCTGTGATTGTTGGTTTTATAGTTCTTGCATGATTTCGTATTCTAAGCCAATTTAAATAAATTTTCTTATTGCGAAATTACTCTCATGAGATTGTCAGTACAAACAACTTGGACAAATATGGCATAACATTGTCAATAGTAGCATCAATCAATTCATTTAGTATGTTGAATATTACAATTAGTGAACAAGAACATTTGATTAAATGTTAAATAAACATCAGTGTTCAGTACTTATGTGAAGGTGCACCATGATCTTAAATAAAGGTAAATAAATGCAATCAATGAGATAAAGATATCCTTAACCAAAGAATTCAGGGAGTCAGTTTGGTATTGCCTGTGTTCTACATGCAAATATAAGTCATATAATAAGTAATATATAAAAAAAAATATTGTAATAATAATAAAAATTATTACAAAATATATTTTATTAAAATAAAATTTTATATAATTTTAAAGTTAGATTTTAGGATCTTTTCTTAAGGTCAGAGGGCATTGGGTCAATGAAATCATGTCTGACAAGACTCACTTGAGTGATATAATATGAGGTTACCAATGATCTCTGTCAAATTTTCAAAGGGGAATTAATAAGGACACCTTAATTCGGATTCTTAGTATTTAAGTTTAACAAGTGTGAATCAGCTCCATATTTAAACAGATAAGGCCAAAATAAAAAATACATTTGTTTCCCCTAACGTGACCGACCCACTTAAATCATGCCGACTGAAAAGTTTTTTTAATAAGATTATTTGAATATTTTTTTTTAATGATTATCAAATTTATAAAATACAATTTCATCAAAATCCGTTTTTTATCAGAACGGCGGCTTTTGTTTTACTCTCCTTTGGTGCCGACAACATGTGGCCACAGAGGGTTAGTTCGTGTTATAAAATAATGGTGACGTATCAATCTTATTATATCTTTAACTTATTAGAATCCTACACTCTTGAGACATCTCGTGAATTAATGTACCATGACTAAGGAGTGTTA